CTTTGTTGGTAAAGTAATGTCTCTGCTTTTTAATATGTTGTCTAAGTTGGTCATAGCTTTTCTTCCAAGGAGTAAGCGTCTTTTAATTTCATGGCTGCAGTTGCCATATGCAATGATTTTGGAGCACCCCAAAAAAGAAAGATAAAGAAGGTCAAGAAAGACAAAGAAGGTCTTCTGCCTCTCTTTAGTTTTTCTTTGATTGTAAAACTGTATCCCAGTAAGTTCTCAGGGTGTGGCATTTCTAGCCACCCACATGTAAGCCTTACAAGCTTCCTGTTCTAGTAAATCACTTTTTATCTACCGCTTTGCTCTCACTGAATTCTTCTCTGTGCTGAGATATAAAGACTAGGGTATCAGAGCTCTTCAGAGACCCCTGAAATGACACTAATGGTTTTGATACTAAGAAAAAAATCTTATACATTTACCATGTCGTTACCATTCACTGTACTCTTCCTTCTTTTACATGGATTCAGATTTCCAACTATCATTTCTTTCTGCCATGTCACTTCACTTCTTTCTATCATGTCTTTCTTTAACATTTTTTGTAGTAGATAGGTTGATGATGTGTTCTTTCAGATTTTGTATCTCGAAAAGGCTTAACATTGCCTTAATTTTTAAAAGACATTTTTACTAGATATACAGTTCTCTAAGTTGCCTCCTTCCTTTCAGTAATTTTAAAATGTTGGCTTCCTGTCTTCCTGCTTTCATTGTTTCTGACAAGAAATTTATTGTCATTCTTATGTTTTTTCCTTCATAGGGAGTGTGCCTTTATTCTCTCAAGTTTGCTTTCCTATCACTGGTTTTGAGGAATTTTATTACAGTGGGCCTTAGTATAGTTTCCTTATGTTTTCTAACAGCTAGAATTCTTTGATTTTCTTGGATATGTGAGTTTATAGTTTTCCTGAAATTGGGGAAATTTTTCCTTTTTTTCCTTCAAATACTTTTCCTGATCCCTACCATCCATTTTTCAGAGCCTCCAACTGAGTGTGAAGTTATCCTACAGTTCACTGACTTTTCTGCTTATTTAAAAGTGCTTTCATTTCTCTGTATGCTTCATTTTGGATAGCTCTTTGATTATATGCTCAAGTTCAATAGTCCTTTCTTTTGCAATGTCTAATTGTTAACCTGTTTGATATCTAGTACTGTGTGTATGCCAACCTCCTAATTTATCCCTTCCCAACCATTCTGATTTGGTAACCATAGTTTGTTTTCTGTGTTTGTCTTTTTCTGTTTTTTAAATAGGTTCATTTATATATTTTTTAAAATTCCACATATAAGCGATATCATATGATATTTGTCTTTGTCTGGCTTACTTATTTTTGTATTCTTATAAGTACTTTTGAGCTTTTTTGTCAGGGGAAAGGAAGATATAGTTAAATTTACCAGAAACAGTTTCATCATTTCAGATCCTGTCTTTAAGCTCTGTGTGAGTATCAATTTCTTTTAATTTTTTCCTATTGGTTCTTTCTCCACATTAGCACAGGGTCTTCTATTTTGTTGTCCCTAGAATCTAGAGCAATCCTTTCAAATTTTAAGAAATCAATATCCTCAAAAATGTGGTATAGGACAGTATTTATTCTGGGATAAGTGCCACCCCCTGTGATCCTAGAAGGATGGAGAATGTATTAATAGAACTTGTTACACCATCTTGAAATTGCATGTTTGGTAAATTTTATGAGAGCAGTGAATGAGTCCATCTTGTTCAATGCCATTTCTCTAAAACTGAGTACAGTGGGAATATAAGTATTTGTGAATTCTGAATTTTTTATTCTATTTTCAAATGGGTGAGAAAATAGGTCTTTAAACAAGTTGCAGAGGTTTTTTTGTTTGTTTGTTTCTTTGTTTGTTTGTTTGCAGAACTCTAGAACAAGGAATTTTAAATAATAGACGGGGCCTCAGGAATCCACTGAGATTATATGTGGGGTTATAGCTGTATCTTTGTAGGTGCATGCATGAGTGCTAAGTTGCTTCAGTTGTGTCTGACTCTTTGCAACCCCATGGACTGTAGCCTACCAGTCTCCTCTTTCAGTGGGATTCTCTAGGCAAGAATACTGGAGTGTGTTGCCATGCCCTTCTCCAGGAGATCTTCTGGACACATGGATCAAACTCATGTCTCCTGAAGCTCCTGAATTGCAGGTGGATTCTTTGGGGTTGGGCTAAAGCCTCACAGAGCCTATTTCACATAGGTCAGCAAAGCAGGAGCATGGTGTGGGTTATGTGTGGGGAGGATTCAGGCTAGTCCCCCTGTTTAGGAGGCCTTTACATCTAGAGGCCTTGGGGCATATTTGCGTTCTGTGCAGGACTTCCTTTCCTTCTTTCCACATACATTTTAATGCCTACTGATGGTGGCCCTGGGCCAGAAAGCCTTCAGTTCCCTGTTGCAAGAGATGCTGTTCTCATGGTGTTCTGTGTCATGGTCTACGTCATTTGATATCATGGGTATCCAAGGTTTCCATCTGGCCTGCTATGTAAAAATGGATAAAAGCCATCTATATTCTTTTGATTATCTGGGTATGCCCATCTTTCTAACTTACCGTAAATCACATCCAACAAATACCTCAGAATGCCTATTCTGTTACAAGCATGCCAGCTACCACTAGAACTGGTCACTGGATAAGTCCTTAGGCAACAGGTAAAGCATCCTCGCATGCAGATGACACCACCCTTATGGCAGAAAGCAAAGAGGAACTAAAGAACCTCTTGATGAAGGTGAAAGAGGAGAGTGGAAAAAACTGGCCTAACACTCAACATTCAAAAGAGAAGATCACGGCATCTGGTTCCATCACTTCATAGCAAATAGATGGGGAAATAATGGAAACAGTGACAGACTTTATTTTCTTGGGCTCCAAAATCACTGCAGATGGTGATGGCAGCCATGAAATTAAAAAACGCTTGCTCTTTGGAAGAAAAGCCATGACAAATCTACACAACATATTAAAAAGCAGAGACATTACTTTGCTGACAAAGGTCCATCTAGTCAAAGCTGTGGTTTTTCCAGTAGTCATGTATGGATGTGAGAGTTGGACATAAAGAAGACTGAGTGCCAAAAAATTGATGCTTTTGAATTGTGGTGTTGGAGAAGACTCTTGAGAGTCCCTTGGACTGCAAGGAGATCAAACCTGTCAATCCTAAAGGAAATCAACCCTGAATATTCATCGGAAAGACTGATGCTAAAGCTGAAGCTCCAATACTTTGGCCACCTGAGGTGAAGAGTCAACTCATTAGAAAAGACCCTGATGCTGGGAAAGAGTGAAGGCAGGAGGAGAAGGGAACAACAGAGGACGAGATTGTTGGATGGCATCACTGACTCAATGAACATGAGTTCGTGCAAGCTCCAGGATGTAGTGAAGGACAGGGAAGCCTGGCATGCAAAAGTCCATGGGGTCACAAAGAGTTGGACATGTCTGAGCGACTAAACAACAAAAACAACAACAAAGCATCTGCAGGTTGACCTAAGGATGGGGCACTACACAGTTTCAGAGCACTGGACACCAGATCTTCCTCTCTGAAAAAATTTCCTTCGATCTTCTGTCATCACATTCATAATACAGCTCATCTATGGCTTGAGCATAAAGAAAAGTGAGATGGAAAAAACTCACGACAGTGTCGGAAGAGGATTCGTTCCATGAATTGATTGACTCATTCATCAGTATAATATTTATTGAGCATCTACTGTGTGTCAGACACTTTGTTGAATGATGATAGGATAAGGACTAGTGCAAAGACTAGCAGATACAGTGCTGTCCTTAGTGATTTCATCAACCAACAGTGGAGGCAGACAAGTGAATGAACAGCTACAATAATGGAAGTGATAGATGGTAAGGGAGAATAAAACATAAGGCCAATATCTAATTTCTTGCAAAACCATAAATTCATTGAGAGAAATGGCATTTGTCTTTCACAGTTCCCAACTAAATGATGTATAGAGGGTAAGCACTCAGGAAAGAGTCAAAAGGCCTAGATTCTGGTCCCAGCTGTCTTTGACCAGCTATCTATCCTTTCCATTAGTCACTTCAGTTTTCTGAGCCTCAGTTTCCTCATCTGTAGAACTGTGACTGACAATATCAGTCCTGATTAACTCACTGTGTAATTGTGAAGATCAGTGGTCATGAGAAGGATATTTTGATTAATTGTAAAGATCTCTACAAAATAAAATATGCAATCATAAGTTATATCCTTAATTTTTTTTGATAAAACAGATGTTCAGCACTTCAATAAGTACTGAATAATTCCTTAAAAAAGAAGGAAAAAGAAAGGAAAGAAAACCAGCAGGTAAGGATCACTGTTGCCACCTTCACAGTTCGAAGTAGGTCTAATTTGATATTTTCAGCACTCTAGATAAAAATTTTAGGTCTTCCCTGGTGGCTCTGACGGTAAAGAAGATCCCCTGGAGGAGGGCATGGCAACCCACTCCAGTATTCTTGCCTGGAGAATCCCCATGGACTGTAGCCCACCAGGCTCCTCTGTCCATGGGGTCGCAAAAAGTCAGACATAACTGAGGGACTAAGCAGCAGCAGATTATTATTTTTACATTTTACAAATCAGAGAAGTGAGGCGCCAAAGAATTTATGCAAGAGCACAATCTCTTCAAAACCCAAGCCTGGGCTGCTTGCCAAGGCTTTTGTTGAAGCTTAGTCTTTAAGTTGTGCCTGGCTATTTCCGGTAACCCCATGGACTGTAGCCTGCCAGTTTCATCTGCCTAAGGGATTTCTCAGCAAGAATACTGAAGTGGGTTTCCATTTCCTACTCCAGAGGATCCAATGTAGGGATCGAACTGGCCTATCGCAACCGGTTTCTTTAGCACTGAGCTACTCCTCAACAAAAGCCAAAATGATCGAACTCCAGAACTCCTTAGCATCTTTTCTCTGGAACCCCGCTTCCCCAGCGTGGAAAGAGCTGGCCTAGGCGTCGACTCCGCCCCATGACGTACATGGCCCCGCCTTCAGGCCCTCCACCTCTCGCGGGATCTCTCGGGAGGACGGCTGGGGTCAGGTCCCATCATGGCGGCTGAAGAGGCGGATGTGGATATCGAAGGGGACGTAGTGCCAGCGGCGGCACAGTCTGGGTGAGCGGTAGAGACTGGGCTTGCGGAGACCAGGAGGGGCACGGCTGTGAGGAGGTACCCTATAAAGGCCGCGGTTCCGGCAAGGGCCGGGGGAGTGGAAAACCATCCTCTGGGCCAGGGTCTCCTGCCGGCCAGAGAGGCGCGCCTCGCCCATTCCGTTTGTTGGTTCCTCTTGAACCCAGAGGGCGGGTACCGTAGACTAGCGTGGGACAGCCCTTTTAGCGGGATCCTGTGAGGGCGCTGACCGAGCCTGGCACATTGTATACTCTTAAGCAGTTAGATTGCTTCTTCCCTTACTGCCACCCCAGAACCCGCAAGCAGTTAGATTGCTTCTTCCCTTACTGCCACCCCAGAACCCGCCCCCTTGCCACCGCCCAAAAAATAATTAGAACAAGGGCGGTCCCTGGACGGAATCGAGCTTAGAAATTCTTGTTCCCTCGCTTGCAGGCCGTGTGACCTTGGGCTTGTCGTTTTATCCCTACTAGCCTCTGGTTTCCTCATTTACGTAGGGATGGATAGTTGTGAAAAACTTCCCGACAGGCAGCGTGATCTAAAAGAAAGGAGTGGGACTTAAGAGTTGGACAGCTGTGTATTGACCCTGCTAGTTACTAGCAGTGTGACTTTGGGCCTCAGACAACTCATGTGTAAGCTGACTATTATGTTATGTACCTCATACGGTTATTGTGAAGATTAAATGAAATAATTTGGGGATGTGCTCTAGTGTAAGAGGTGCTCTGTAAGTGTTGTGTTCTCTACCGTCCCACCCACGGATGGTATTTTGAGGACCCAGTGCGAGGTCATCATTTAGTACCAGTTCCTGCAGAGTAGGCCAGTGTGATTTTTAGAAAGCAGCCTCCAGCTTGAGACATCTAGCTGTTTGACTCCTTGCTTGCAGAGAAAGAAATCGATACATGCGGTTTTAAAGATGTGCTTTCAGAATTCTTTTAGTAATAGAAGAGACCTACATTGGTCAGCATCAGAAGACCTCAGTTAACTCAGCCAGCTATGTTGCTTATAACTATGAATAAATTCATTAGAAGTCTCTACATTGAGCCAGGTAAAACTGTGAGGCTTAGACCGTTTTTGACCTATAAAATAACAATTTCACATGATCCAACCTAATAATAGCACCTTTGTAAATTGTGAAGAAGAGCACCAACCCTGCCCATGAGGGACTGAAATAGAGCCCTTCAAAGTTTTCCTGAACTTGAAACACTATAAAAATGAAAAGTAACGAAGTATCCTTCAAATGTTAGGCAAAACAGTACAAGTCTATACAAATGAACAGAAAGCCTTTGATAACAATCTTTGACATTTGTGTAGATCAGGTTAATCTTGACCAAGTGCTTTTGCATGCATGGTTTGGTTTACTTTCCACAATACGTGTATGAAATAAGTGTGAGGGATTCTGACCTGAAGTTCAAGAGAGATGAGCTGCCCTTGGAAACACTAAAGATTATCTGAGAGCACTGACACTTCCCCTTTTTCCAAGGGTTTTTCTTTATTTTTATGGTTGTGTTTTTTTTCTCTTTTTCTTTTTTCTTTCCTTTCTCTTATTCTGTCTGAGCCCAAAGTCTGCTGGTGGCACTTATAGTCACGTTAGTCTCATGAAACCAGTAACCAGTTGTTGGTTCCTGATGGTCATCATCATTGTCTCACACAGTTCTTTAGAGCATCGTGAACATCACAGTCTAGTGACAGTTGCTTCCTAGTGTCGGTACTCTAATCATGTGGAATTTGGTGTGACTAAACACTTAGACGCCCCTCTGAATTGTTCAGTTACAGCTGATCATGAAATCTTGAAGATTAATTGAAAGCACACTTTTAAGTCCTTGGTAAGTGCTGGCTACCAGGGTTAGAAGATGCATTGAAATGTTTTGTTTCCCTTCTACCATTCTTTCTTATCCTCTGTTTCTTCTGCTTGTTCTTTAAATAATAGTATTCCAAGGAATGTTTGTCATAAGACTCCTACTAACCACACAATCCATCTCTCAAGACTTAAATTTCTATCTGTTAAGTTGGACCATGTGAAATTTTCCCAATGTTCCACCAATTTTGACCCACACAAATGACAGTTAATCTTAAATTCCACCTAATAGCAGGCTGATGTTGCCCAAATCTGTCACCAACTCAAATCTCTCTCCTGATCTTTAGATCCATTTATCCATTTTCCTGAATCTTTTTTCCCTTGGGTGATCCACGAGCTCCTCAATCTCACTTTATACAAACTTTCCTTACCCAGCCTACCTCTTCAAGTTCCCTAGTTCAATAAATGGCACCATCCACCCAGTCATGCAAGGGAGAGACCTAGATTTTAACCTTTTTCCTTACCTCTCTCCTATCAGAGAGTCTGTTTATTCTGACTGTCCTCTCAGATGTGTTCACTTCTTTCTATTCACACTGCTTGTGTTTTAGGTCTAAGTTACTGTCACTTCTCTAGTATCTATGTAATCACTCCCTCTTAACTGCTTCTTGTCTCTTTGACCCTCTTCTAGTCTTTTCTGAGGTCCAGATCTGGTGATGGTACTCTCAACTCCCTAGAGACCTGTGTGATCCGTACCCCACCTACCTTTTCATTCAGTCATTCAGCAAATATTGATGATCGTTTGTATGCCTAGCTCTGGATTTATAGCACTCATCCAAACTAAGTCCTTGCTCTTATGGAACTCACATTCTTAGTGGATGAAACAGACAATAAACTTTATATTATAGCAGTTTCTAAGAGGTATAGCAGTTTGTAAAAAGTATAGACTGGGAAAAGTCACTAACCAGGAAACTTTTATAACTTCAAAACATACAGAAGCAAATTTTAAATTTAATTATATCACAGATTGGGCCTCCTCAAACTTAACTATACATATGAAGTGAAAAGTGTGACTTTCAGTTCAGTTCAGTTGCTCAGTCATGTCTGACTCTTTGTGACCCCATGGACTGTAGCATGCCAGGATTCCCTGTCCGTCACCAACTCCTGGAGCTTGCTCAAACTCAAGTCCATCGAGTCAGTGATGCCATCCAACCATCTCATCCCCTGTCATCCCCTTCTCCTCCCACCTTCAATGTTTCGCAGCAACAGGGTCTCTTCCAATGAGTCAGGTCTTTGCATCAGGTGGCCAAAGTATTGGAGTTTCAGCTTCAGCATCAGTCCTTCCAATGAATATTCAGGACTGATTTCCTTTAGGATTGACTGGTTGGATCTCCTTGCAGTCCAAGGGACTCTCAAGAGTTTTCTCCGATACCACAGTTTAAAAGCATCAGTTCTTCAGCGCTCTGCTTTCTTCATAGTCCAACTCTCACATCCATACATGACTGCTGCAAAAATCATAGCTTTAACTAGACGGACCTTTGTTGACAAAGTAATGTCTCTGCTTTTTAATATGTTGTCTAGATTCGTCATAGCTTTTCTTCCAAGGAGCAAGGGTCTTTTAATTTCATGGCTGCGGTCACAAACTGCAGTGATTTTGGAGCCCCCCAGACTTAAGTCTCTCACTGATTCCATTGTTTCCCCATCTAAATGGTAGAAGTAACTGACTCTCTTAAATGTGACTTTAGAGAGTTCTAATTAGTTAAAAGGCTGAGAATTAACAAAGTTGAGTCCCTCATGGACATAGAAAAGCCCTCAGATAACTCAAGTTAATTTTTGTTATGTGAGTTAAAACATCGGATTTCTTAGCTCTCTTCACTGTACTGTCCTCCTTCAAGTATTTTCTTTTGTTTCTTCTATTTCATCTTGCTTTTTCTTCCATTTTGAGAGTGGTACTATTAATGGGTGGCTCTCATGCTTTCAGTTCAGTTCAGTTCAGTCGCTCAGTCGTATCCGACTCTTTGCAACCCCATGAATCGCAGCACGCCAGGATTCCCTATCCATCACCAACTCCCAGAGTTTACTCAAACTCATGTCCATCGAGTCAGTGATGCCATCCAGTCATCTTATTCTCTGTCATCCCCTTCTCCTCCTGCCCCCAACCCTTCCCAGCATCAGGGTCTTTTCCAATGAGTCAGTTCTTCGCATGAAGTGGCCAAAGTATTGGAGTTTCAGCTTCAGAATCAGTCCTTCCAATGAACACCCAGGACTGATCTCCTTTAGGATGGACTGGTTGGATCTCCTTGCAGTCCAAGGGACTCTCAAGAGTCTTCTCCAACACCACAGTTCAAAAGCATCAATTTTTCAGTGCTCAGCTTTCTTCACCGTCCAATTCTCACATCCATACTTGACCACTGGAAAAACCATAGTCTTTACTAGATGGACCTTTGTTGGCAAAGTAATGCCTCTGCTTTATATATGCTATCTAGGTTGGTCATAACTTTCCTTCCAAGGAGTAAGCATCTTGTAATTTCATGGCTGCAGTCACCATCTGCAGTGATTTTGGAGCCCCCCAAAAATAAAGTCTGACACTGCTTCCACTGTTTCCCCATCTGTTTCCCTTGAAGTGATGTGATGTGATGCCATGATCTTAGTTTTCTGAATTTTGAGAGCTTTAAGTCAACTTTTTCACTCTCCTCTTTCACTTTCATCAAGAGGCTTTTTAGTTCCTCTTCACTTTCTGCCATAAGGGTGGTGTCATCTGCATACCTGAGGTTATTGATATTTCTCCCGGCAATCTTGATTCCAGCTTGTGCTTCTTCCAGCCCAGCATTTCTCATGATGTACTCTGCATATAAGTTAAATAAGCAGGGTGACAGTATACAGCCTTGACATAACCAAAAGAGTCAGAAAGTTGAATTCCTGTATAGATGTGCATATTCATCAAGAGAAATCTGAAGTGTTGGTTCATAGCCACAGAATGTGTTGTTTCTGGTTGCTGTTTGGAGGTAGTTTTTTCCTTACGGAGTTGTTTATTCTTGAGAAACAAAAGTAAACAAACTTGATGTTTAGCAATTGAAATAGGATGGAGAAAGGAGCTAAATATTTGTTTAACATATGAAAGCTGTCAGTCACTGTGCTGTGTAAATTATATTCATTAACTGGTATAATTTCACTTTCATACTTATTTTCTCAATTATTACAGAAGTGATGAAAATACAGCATCTGTTTTACAAGATCATTATCTTGATTCATCATGGAGAACTGAGAATGGTCTTATTGTAAGTATTTTATGGAAATATCAGGTATATTAAGCTATTACTCAGTGCCCAGAGTATCTCTCTTTTTTTTTCTTTTTAACTTGGTGCTAGTTCTCAGTGGTCACAGAGGTAATATAGAGAAACCTTTTTCTTAACTTAAAAATAGAAGGGATTTATTCTTTTTTCTTTTGACTGAAAAAACGGCCTTCTGGGAAACAACTTTGGAGCCAGCTAGATTTTGGTACAAATTGGTGCTCTACCACTTTTCAGATTTGTGAACCTCAGTTTCTTCATCTAAAATACGGGGATTGTTGCCTGGTTCGTTTCTTCATTTAACAGTTATTTATCGAGTACTTGGGCCTCCCTGGTAACTCAGTAAAGAACCCCCTGCCATTGTAGGAGATGCAGGTTTGATCCCTGGGCAGGAAGATCCCCTGGAGGAGGAAATGGCGACCCACTCCAGTATTCTTGCCTGGGAAAGCCCATGGACAGAGGAGCCTGGTGGGCTACAGTCCATGGGTTCACAAGAATCAGACACGACTTAGTGACTGAACAACTATTGAGTACTTACTATATGCCAGACACCAAGCCAGGTTTTGGGGAATACAATAATTGAGATAGACATGTTGAGGGAAACTGAAAAGGTGACATTTAAGTTGAAAATAGGAGTAGGAATGTGAAGAGTAGAGGAAAAATACTACATGCAGAAAGAACAGCAGCACAAAGGCTGTTGTTGAAACCCAGTATCTAGAATATAGTAGGAAAGGGGGAGAGGTGACAGCTGTGACAAAGTTGGGGAGGCAAATGATGGCCCTGTCATACTAGTAGGAAGCAGGAAGAAAATAAAAAAGACTAGTTAGGAAACATTTCTAGGGATCTAAGCAAGATTTGTTGATGGCATGGCCTCAGGTTGTGGCAGAAGTTGACAGATTTGAATTACGTTTTGGTGGTAGAAATTCTTGTTATATTAGGTTTGGGGATTGAGGGAAAAGGAAAGAATCCAGGATGATTCCTGGGTTTCAGGCTGGAATAGCTTGGTGGCTAGTCATGCTGCTTACAGAGTTGGGAGGGCAGGAGAGAAGTTGGTGAAAGTTATGTTTTGGTAAATTTTGTTTTGACTGTGAAGTTTAAGAAGCCTGTTAGGTATCCAAGTGGAAATTTTGAGTGGGTAGTTAGTTATAACAGTCTAAATAGAGCTTGGAAAAGAGAATTTGCTGGAAATGTTTACTTTTTAAGAGTTAAAAAGAAGTATGGAGAGATTGTGGCTTAAGGGGAAAAAAGGAATTGTGGTGAGTTTTGGAAATATTAATAGGTGAGGTATCTAGCAAAATCTCAATAGTATTTTAATAGTTCCTCATACTGGATAGCCATTATTACTTTATCATGAGTAGGAGCCAGAGCCTAGGAATCTTAAGTTCAAGTCTCTTCTTTCCCGCTTGAAACGTTAGTGAGTGCTTCTATCAATGCATCTGTGAAACAGTGATGCCTATCTCATATCAAGTATCATGAGAGTCCAAAGATATGTCTGCGTGCTCAGTAAATGGTAGCTTTATTATTTGTAATCATATTATTGTATATTTTCATTTAACAAAACAAGTTGGTTTCAAAAAGCAGTAAATAAAAAAAAATTATTCTTCCTTTTTTTAATAGCCTTGGACTCTGGATAGCACCATCAGTGAAGAGAACAGAGCTGTCATTGAGAAAATGTTGTTGGAAGAAGAGTATCCTTTATTGATTATGAGGAAAGTAAAGATTTCAGCGTTAAAAATCCATTAATGCAAAACTTATCTAGCACTGTTAGTTGCTAGATACAATGCTAGTCTATAATGTTACACCTACCTATTCTGTTTTACCACTAAGTCTGAGATCTGACCCAATACTTTTGAATTTCTGTTGTCAACCAACTCTTTATTACCTTAATATTGAACAGATATTACAGAGTTTTGTTGTTATTGTTGTTTTGTTTTTATTTTTAATCTTTTTGCCATGCCACATGACTTGTGGGATCTTAGTTCCCAGACCAGGGACTGAATCCATTCCCTCTTTAGGGGAGGTGTGGAGTCCTAACCATGGAGCATCAGGGAGTTCCCATAGAGTGTTTTAAATCAGCTAGAATCCTTAGTTGGAGTCCAGATTTTCTAGTCCAGACCTCCCATTTTCAGTTATATGAGATACTAATTCATCCAAAGACTCAGAATTAGAATATGTAAAAGTTATCACTTCTTATTCTACCAATTTATAGGTGTTATTGGGAGCAATCTAAGTAAAAAGCACAAAACTATAGAATGAAGATTTTTTTTCTCCTAGAAGTTGTAGGTCATTATTCACAGTTCAGCCACTGGCTTCTTGCCCTGTTTCTTTCATCTATTTGTGATATTTACAACTTAAATTTTGGGAAACTCATATATTTTTTACATGTAAAATAAAAGGATTGAATAAAAAGTTTTCTGATTTTCTGATTTACAAAGGTTATTAATATAACTCTAATGAGTGGTTTGTTTTCAACTCATTGTGTTTCATGGATTTTTATCTCCTTTTTCAGCCAGAATTTCTGTTCCTTTTACTCCCAGTTATTGCTGTGTTGTTTTCAGGGTGTCTGTGAACCTTTAATTATCATAGGTAAACCCTTTTAGGCTTTCTTACTCTCCCAACTCCCCCCAATCATTACAGCTATAGCCTGGATCATTGCTTTTCGGTAGAAAAATAGTGCAAGTCACATATGTCATTTACAGTTTTCTAGTAGCCATGTTTAAAATGGGAAATTAATTATAATAACATTTTATTTGACCCAGTATATTTAAAATATGTTTCAACATTTAATGTGTAAACATTGAGATGTTTGGCATTCTTTGTTTTATACTCTTTGAAACCCAGCGTGCATTTTATATACTTAGAGTACATCTTAGTTTGTGCTAACCACATTTCAGGTATTCAGTAGCTACACATGTGGCTGTTGGCCATGTGTTGAACAGTGTCATTCTAGATTAATGAATATTTAGGTAGTCAGTGGTTCACTTCCAGACTTGGGAACAAAATAATGATAGTAAAAGCTATGTGAGCTCTTGGATAAACAAGGGTAATGTTTTCTTCTATCCTTCATTACCTAGTATCTACCATGGTGCCTCATGTACATGATACACAGTCAATATTTGTTAAGTGAAGAATCTAAAAGTACAACAGTATAGGCTAGGTTTAATGAGTCTGAGGTAGATTTGACCCAAACATTCGTTTTATTTGTGAGGGTAGAGAACAACCCTAAACTCTTCTCTATTACCTTCAGAAACATGAAAGCAGATACTCCTGAATTATCCTGGATGACCAATCAGATTCATCTGTTAATTCTCCGTATGTGTTAGGAAAAAAAGATTTAAATAAAACACTGAGGATATATCTTTTCTTAGCCACTTCTAATAGGGAAGAAAGAGAAACTAGCATTTAGGTAGTACACATTTTGTGCAGGTACTGTGTATGTGTGACTTCACATGTAATATTTAATCCAGATAAAAACCGTATAAGATATAAACATTTTTGTTATAATTATTACATACCTGGAAAATTTTCTTGAGAAGAATTGGTTTCACTTGAATTTAAGTGTGACTTTCAGGATATGTGAATGCCTGCTTTATACAAATTGCATAAGAATTTATAGGACTTTATTATTGTTTTAAAAGTTTCTTTAATAATTATACAGATATTACTTATCCAATAAGTCACTTCCAGGAAAATTCTGGCTTGATCAAAAGGAAGATGATAAAAAATACTTGAAGAGGTAAAATCAATTTATAATACTTTTAAAAGTCTGAATTGTATTTTTAAAAACTTCACAAGCTTCCTTATTTTCTTTTTTCATGTGGTGCAGTCTGCAGAAAACAGCAAAAATCATGTATGTACTTATGTTTTATACTTTAAAATCTTCTTGATTAGTTAAAAATGGGAAAATTAAACAAGAAGTTATAGTTGGCCTGTGGAAAAATCCTCTTGACCTTGGATTTATAAAAATATAAAATCAAAATTTCTTCTACAAATGTTGGAATGTTACAAGATAATTTTGTTATATTATTTTTTTGTCAGAATCTTTATGGCCCTACATAGGCAATTTTATTAAACTAAAGGTGGTTTTCTCAGGATTTCTTCTTTAAGCTGCCCTCTCATAAATTACGAATTGACTTCTGTTGCCCTGTCAGTTAATTTTCAGTTGTTTCAAATAAAACTTTAATTTGAATTTGTAGTTTTTAAAAATTATCTAGAGAAATTAAGTATTAACTGTTTTATAAACATCCCTTCCCTATAATTGAAGAAGGTTTGATGTTATTCAGTGTTTCTAAGCTTGTATGTTTATAATCCCTTAGAGGGTGGACTTGTAATTACTAAGAGTTTGAGCACTGAACAGACTTTGGCTTTTGCATTTTGCTCAACAAGCAACAACTAAAAACTGAAGTTAAAGAAAAGATTAATGGTTCATGTCAATTAAATTAGTTGGCTTCATCTCAGTTTTATTTTTAATTTCTTAATGTCCTGCATTTCAAAAGCAATAATTATACTGTAATAGTACTTTTACCTCTTTTCTGGCTTGATGTTTACATAGATTTACATAGAAGAATCAGATGATATTTCTGGAGCCAGCTTTATCTCTGACAAGCCTCTCAGGTTTTGGAGATGTATTAACATTTGCTGCTTTGTGTCCAGTCTAAAGAAGCCTATCTGTTATCACATTGACTTCCTTTGATGTCTTTTAGTGTTATCTTCACTCGGAGCCAAGGATTATGTCTTTGGGGGCTCCTGTCCTGAGCTAGAGAAGTATATAAGACAGGGTAAATCTGGTCCCCCAGGTGGAGGCTGCGGCCTACTTTTTCTTCTCTTCTCTTTAATTCTTAGACTCAAAAAGTATTAAGTTTAGCCCATGGCTATCTATAACCTTTAGCTGCATAAATATGGAATGTTCCATTTCAGAAATTTTTTTGCAATTCCTCTTTTTCCCCTCAGGGTACACTCTCCTACAAAACCAGCCAGTTACTCAGTAAAGTGGACGATAGAAGAAAAAGAGCTGTTTGAACAAGGGCTGGTAAATAGAGCAATTTTTAATTTATAGTGAAATAATTCTAGAAGCAAATATTGATAGAATTAAAAGGTTAAATTAATTTATAGAGACCGAAAATTTCATTTTAATTACAGTAATCACGTTTATAGTTTTTCTGTAGTTAAATGATATAGTTAGTTAGAATGATTATGTTTGTAGTGTAGTATGAGAGAATTCCTTTTAACTCATACGTAAGTTACTAAAATATTAAAATATTGATAGACTTGACTCAATATTTTAGATAGTTTTTCACCCCTTTTTTGGTACTAATAAAACCCAAGAAATTGTACTGTATCTTTATACGTTTTACCAACCACCTGGATTGAAAGGCAAACTTATTTAATTACCTGATCTTTTCTCTTGGGGAAAAAACTTGTATATTTGGAACAGTCTGGGTGATCAGCTGAGTTTTTTTCAATTCCAATTTTGGCATTTGTGCACACAATCTAAATATTTTAGTGGATATAGTTAAAGACCAGAAACATTCCTTTTGCATGAATGTTTCACTGAGATCTATTTAAATGTCCACAGTTGCATAATGGAAAAAAAAAATGTACACAAGTTTCTAATTATGAGAAAGTGCCTTAATATAATGAAACTTAACAAAATATGCAGGAATTTTTTTAACTGTCTTTAGTAGATTATATTTTTTTCTTTAAGGTACATATTACCCAATATTAATTAATTTTGAAATTATATATATATATTATATGTGTAGAATATTTATGTAATATTATGTAGTATTCATGAATGCAAATTGAAACATAGTTTAAAAACTACAGAAACTATTTTGAGGGTTAAATCTCCTTCTGAGATTTTTCTCCTTTACTTTTGATGCTTTCTATACTGATATTTTAGTCTGTCGTGTGATTATCATTTATATAATCTAATAAACCAGTCGTATGTTTAAGATTGCTGACAACTTTGGTGTTTGGTCCATTACCAAAGATCAGAATGTACACACAAATGGATTGTGAATTTTGGGGTTGTTATTGTTGACATTGGTGGTAGTTATAGAGGCTTAGCTCCATGGTTCAAAACTCAAATGGCACCTAAAGTTGTAGGCTGTTAAGTCTCCTTCTGACTCCTATTTCACCTTTAGTTTTCTTTGCCTATCACCTGTTCTTGTGAATCATTCCACAAATAATTTGTCCCTATAAAAGCAAGTGTCTTTATTTAGGTACATATGTAGATAACTATATCTGTCTGTGTATATATAAAGAGATATTTTTAACCTAAAATATTTTCCCACAAAAATACATGGAACCATTGGTTGTATTCTCAGCCTTGGTAACCCATTAGTATCATTTGCTTGTAATCTGAATTCTCTCAGGCTTGAGAGTAGGAAATTATGTGGTACTGAATGATGGAAGATTTTTTCTTTCTTGTCCCTTTGCTCTATTTTTAAATTGGTGAATGTTTTCTTTGCTTCTCTTGTTAGTGTCCCCTCTCCAATTTTCATAGTGCCCAAGCCCCTAGAATCCTACCTAGTCACACATTATCCAGATCTTTCCTGTTTCCAAAAGTGCTTCATGCTACCAAATTACATGTTTGCCTTCATTACACAGTGTGTGCTCAGTCACTCAGCTGTGTCCGACTCTCTGTGACCCAATGGACTGTAGTCCACCAGGCTTCTCTGTCCATGGGATTTTTCAGGCAACAGTACTGGAGCAGGTTGCCGCTTCCTTCTCCAGGAGATCTTCCTGACCCAGGGATCAAATCTGCTTCTCTTGTACCTCCTGCATTGGAAAGCAGATTGTTTACCACTGCGCCACCTTGGGAAGCCCTTAGCACATAATACAGATGACTACCTCTTCAGGAGTTGATCTCAGGTGTTAGTTAAGAACTATCATAAGTTATTAATTTATACTTACTGATTTTCTCAGAAGTACTTTCAGTTTTAAGAAATTGTCCATATGTCAGATTTTCTATTGAATACCAGAAATAAGTATGTAGGTTAAGGTTTATCATTTAGGTCAGGATAATTTATTGCCATTAGTCATGACACTCTGGCATGTAAATCTGGCCCTGAGATCAACTTCTCTGAGTTGTTATATTTTTGTTTTTGTTTTTTTTTCTTTAGGCCGTTTTAGGAAATCTCAAAAAAGATTGTTGAGCTTCTTTGGGAAATGGAGAGTATCTTGTGTTAGAGATAATGTAAAGGAGATTTACGTATCAGATGATAGCCTTGATAATTAAAAATACTGTCTAGCTTTAAAATTACACTGCATTCCTGTCTGTACTTGAAAACACACCAGAGCTCCCTCAAGTTCTCAGTTTTTCCCTTCACAGCTTCGATGTTAGTAGGTACACAGCCTTTGAAAGTGAAGGGATGTAGGGAGGTATTGGTTGAAGATCACTTTATTTGTGATTCAATCTTTAAGTCAGTTTACTGTGATATCTGAACAGTGTAAAAGTTAGAATATGTAATAGATATTTTAATATGGAATCTGAGTAAGAAAATTTTTTTGAAATTAGTGTTGGAACATAGTCAATTGATTCTATACTTGGAAAATAGAAAATACAACCCATCTCCCTTTCAATGCACTTTTTTGTTGAGTTATCCTTAATTTTGGAACATCATAATGTATAATACTGATACATACTGTAGGAGTACTTAGAAGTGATGGATCTTCATTTAGGTAGCTATAAAAAGAAATTTCTAAATCATCTGGCTTTCAGAAGGCAAGATTCAAAGAGAAGATTGTGGGCTTTGATTTTAAGAGTCTTAACTATATATGAGACTTGTGTGCTTTAGAAAAGAAAAATAGATCATTTTAGTTTTTTTTTTAATATGGCAGTAATTTGGAATGTTAATTAAGCTAATCAAAAGCAATTTCTTTTCCATTTTGATAACATAGGCTAAATTTGGCCGAAGGTGGACCAAAATTGCAAAGCTAATTGGAAGTCGCACTGTTTTACAAGTGAAGAGTTATGCCAGACAGTACTTTAAAAATAAGGTAAGCAGGATATAAATATCCTAGTGATCATATTTAAAATAAAATTAATAAGCATAAATAGTTCTTTAATTCAGGCATACTTGCGTATATGCTAAGTCGCTTCAGTCATGTCCAACTCTTTGTGACCCTATAAACTGTAGTCCACCAGGCTCTTCTGTCTGTGGGGATTCTCCAGGCACGAATACTGGAGTGGGTTCCTCCAGGGGATCTTCCCAACCCAGGGACTGAACCCATGTCTCATATCTCCTGCATTGGCAGGCGAGTTCTTTTCCACTGGTGCCACCTGGCATTAAAGTCTTAATGTTCAGAGTATTTATAGTGAAAATATTTTATACCCATAAAGTACCCTATAAATGTTCGTCTTCAAAAATCTCAAAGCATATCTTCAATGTATTGAGTACTCCTGTTAAATTGGTATTATTATGTTACTCCACTTAATTTCACGCAGTTAAGTAGGGCAAATTTTAGTTGCTCAAAAACATCCTACAAAGCAAATAGTATTCCAAAGAGAACACCTTAGAGGTCATTGCTTCCTGGAAAATTTTTTTCCTTTTTAAATATTTGCATTAAACTTTTAAGAATTATTAGAACTTAGGGACCAAAAATACTAACATGATTCTAAAATCTTTTTAATAGCAATGAAACTTGTACAATTATTATGAAGAACTGTCTGAAAACTCTAATAAACTGCAGTGTTCGAAAATGTACAGTTACGGTCTAGTTCCTTAGTCTTGAAAGTAATTTGTGCTGTATTCAACCATGTACTTCTGATGTTTAGAATTTCTCTAATATGTTCTGCTTGAGTACTGAAAGCATAATTATATAGAATTTGAAAGTGTCTTAAGTGAAATTTGGCACTTTCTTTTCATGTAAATTGGGTTGAGTCTTGAATAAAACAGGCTTGAACTGAGCTGATCCACTTATATGTGGATTTTTTTCAACAGTCAGTAAGACAGTACTGCACAATCCACTGAGGTGGAATTGCAGATCTGGAACTGCAGATACTAAGGAACCACAAAAAGTGCAGGCCAACTTTAAGTTATATGCAGATTTTCAACTGTATGGAGGGTTGGTGCCCCTAACCCTCTGTTGTTCAAGGGTCAGCTGTATTGGGTTTTACCTTGTATACAAGACTTATCTAATTTAGTGTCATTTGGTCATAGGAAATAAGTAATGGAATGAATTCATTGTAAGTCAATCAGTCTGCTCCCTCTTTTAATCAGCAAAAGCATTTTCCAGACAGCCTACTAAGGTCAAGGTATTACGAGATAGAATAAGCCCAATTTAGTTACTCTTATCCATGCTTCTCAGGCTGGTATGTGCAGGACTTCTTGCAGTGTCAGTTTTACTCCGAGGCTTGAGATGAAAGGGTACATTTTAATATTAAAAGAAATATTAATATATAATGAAATAACAATGCAAAATTTTGTCTGAAATTTTAAGCTAAAAACAAGAGACTTCAAATAAATAGCCAGGTTGTTAAAGGCTATTTCAGGCTAAATGTCCAAATTTCCTTTTCCTCTACATAGTAAGCCAGTTAACTACAAATACAGTATCCTCGGAGTCTGTTGTGATAAAGGATCTATACATAATCTCTTTTCAGGAGCTGTTATATTTTGGGTGTGTTAGTCATTTGCATGGTTTTTCAAAATTACATGTAACAAAGATGTTATTTCAAATCATATGTACTCGTTAGCATTCATTTTCTTTTCCTTATTGCATTACAACATATTTATGTTTATAATAGCAGATATGATAGTTTCATGTCTTAAATTATAAGCTCTATAATATTAGAGCTATGTTAAATGAACATGCAAAAGCCAGTTTGTTTCTATTTGTATTTAAATGAAAGATGATTTTAATTTACTCAGTAAATATATGTGAGTTTAACTAAAAGGAGTTTTTAGCATTATAAAAAATGATCTGCTGAGGTATCAGATATTCTGAGAAATAAGCCTTCGCAATATCTTAAAAATACCTTGTATGATGGTTTTTGGTTAATTCTCTATGGTTGATCTGAGCCAGATTCCCATTTTAAACTTCATACTGAAAATTAAGTATTAATAGTAGGTCATAATTATTTGATTAATCAAAGTCACCAGACCATGAGTGAGTCAAGTATATTTATGGAAATCTGAAGTGATGATCTTTTACATTTAAAATGTAGTTGTAACCCCTTCAGAAAAAGCACAGTAAAGATATACCATTGACATGTACTCAGTTTAATAACTTTGTATCTTATTTTTTGTGTGTGCCAGTGATGACATTTTAAAAATGTTAATATTATGGAGATTTTATCTTGATTTTTAATAAGGTAAAATTAGATGGTCCAGAAAAGGAAACACCAAATCAGAAGAATAGCAGTGGCTTCCAGATGAAAAATGAAGATGAAGGCACAAAGGCGTGGACACCATCAGATTTAAGGGGACGTGCTGATCCCAACTTGAATGCTGTAAAAATTGAAAAGTTATCCGATGATGAAGAAGTAGACATCACAGATGAGACTGATGAGTTGACTTCACAAGGTCCCCAAAAGGATCTTAGCAGTGATCTCTTGTTAGACATCTTTAATAATAAAAGATCTGAAACCAGTAAAGGACTGGTTTCTGACAGCCAAGAAGATCCCATTTCTAAATCTTCCAAGGAGTATCTTCAGAATATAAAGCAAGGTGAGATGGAAACACTTTCAAGCTCAGGAATTAGACTTTGGGCTGAAAATTACACCACCAGTGACCAAAAATTAGCTGAATTAAATGATGAGAAATGTGATAAGTTGATGAAGAACTGTGATAAACATGATGGGAATGGAATACTAGATGATGCCAGACAGTTGCCTTCTCCAGAGCCTTGTGAAATTCAGAAAGACTTGAGTGATAATGAATTGCTTTTTCATTCTTCCTGCCAAATGGAGGAGGAGAGCCAAGAGGAAGAAGAGCTTAAGCCACCAGAACAAGAAATAGAAGTTGATAGAAATATCATTCAAGAAGAAGAAAAACAAGCAATTCCTGAGTTTTTTGATGGGCGCCAAGCTAAAACACCAGAACGCTATTTGAAAATTAGGAATTATATTTTGGATCAGTGGTAAGGAAAAACTGTATTTTAGATGCTATTTTAAAGCTTATGTTACTCTAAAGTATGTACATGTGCCTATGCAGAATTTAGTATTTTACAGTCCTAGTGTTCCAGAGAGCTTTAACATATTAATACATTTCAGTAGGCAAGACTTGGTTTCTTATAGTGAAACCATTTGAAAGTTTTGGGAAATGTTGTCATCTATAGCTGTCTTAACCCATCTGTTACTTTATTAGAGTCAGTGGTCCTAAAGAAAAGGGATAAATCATTACCTTAAAAAGCAGTTTCGTAGGACAATGTTAGGAAGATATAGAAAACACTACTGAACTGGAAGAGGGGAAGAATGTCTATCTTAGTTTATGGTTTACTTTGAAGTACAAAGAGAAAACTTTGGTGTCAAGGATAGTATCATTTAATGTGGCTTGATTTCAGAAACTATTCTAAAAATCTGCCTTAAATGCTTTTGACTTTGAACTTGTGACATAATGTGTTAATAATTCCTTTATCAGAATATAGGAATTTTTTTATATATTCAGTGAACCCTCTAAATTGTCAGTACCTTTTATTTGAGTTACTTAGTGAGGGATGGGGAACAAGCCAAAAAACTTCCCACCTTATTGGCTTAAGTGCTCTGAAAGTGATTTGCATTTTTTGTAATAGTTTAATTAAGACATCATCAAACATTCATGATTGTTACTGCTTCAGGAGCTATAAAATTGTGTAGAGCCATCTTTACAGAGGGCTTCTGTTCTGACCTAGGAAGATTACCAAAGGAAAAAACAGTAACTTTCATTTTACCCACATAATATTAAGCATTTTGACATCTAAAGAAAACCCTATTCTAAAAGAAAAAAAATTTTTTTTTCTCACTCTTAACTCTTGGTTATTTTGCAAATGATTGAGGTTGGGAAAATGCTAAGTGAGGGTGGTATCAAAGTAAAAGAATACCTATAAGGAACCACTCCTGACATTTAACATAGTGTTTTATAGTTTACAGAGAGCTTTTCTGTATCTGAGTGCTCACAACAATCCTGTAAACTAGGCAGGTGGTGTTTTCTCTCTAATAGAATGAACTTGAGATCAGGAGAGGTTTAGGGACGGCCTTGGATTATACAGACCGGTTGTTGACAAAAGAAGGACTTCAACCCAAGTCTCGACTCTGTAAATCACTCTTTCCGTTATTCTACATTACCTAATTCACACTTAAAACAGACAAATTAAATTAAATCTCCCCTGGTATCTAATTTTGTTTTTGGAAATAAGAGCATGAATGGCCAAAATTGAAGTACTTGAAAATAATGACTAAATCAAAAGTGTCTATGTAAATTATCAAAGACAATTTAATGTTACTTTAATCAAATTTCATTTGTTACTTTGAATTTTGGATTTACAAGGCAGAATAATTTATATGGGTAGCATAAATTATACGGCAATAGTTTCCTAATGTCATTGCCTTAGTTATGAAACCAGTTAAATATTGCTGTTTCAGTACAATGATTTAGCTGAACAGTATAAAAGCAAAAAGAAATGTTTTGAACAGGAACTCAAACCTATTCTCTTCAGAAATAGAACAGAGTATTTAGAGACTGGAGGCGGTGTTAAAAAAAAAATTGAAGTGTTCAAGTTTTAAAGATAAAAAAAGCCTTGCTAGATTTGTTTGTAGCTAGAAGATCCTTTCCATAAAAGCACATGCAATTGACTCCCTGTTTAGGGGGCTATTTTATTAAAATAGTAACCGGTATCATTGAATACTTACTAAATGCCCGACATCGTATTTATCTCTAGTCCTTTTTGACAGCCTTGTTCTCATGTTACAGATGAGAGAAATGAAGTTGAGAGAGGGAACAGAACTTGTTCCAGGTCACATTAGGTGGAGGTGATTCCAGAGAACGCAGTCTTGACCCATTATTTTCACACTTACCACTCTGGGCCTTGACTGACTTTTCACACTGCCTGGAATGCTTTTCCCCACTGGATTTTGGTGAATCTCACTTCTTCTTCTCTTTCAGTTCTGCTCAAGGGAGACTAGACGCCGCCTTTCTCTACCCTGTGTCTACAATAGCTCACATATCTCTTCCCTCTCATTCTCTTACCCTATATTTTATATATCTTACAGAACTTTCTTACCACTGAAAATATTATATTTTATTTGTGTTTTGTCTTGCCTCTCCCCACCCCCCATGATAAATGTAGGCTCCATGTTCATTGTTTTGTCCCTCCTGCTTAGAACAATGCTTGGAATACAGAGATAGATTGAAAGAATGAATCATCATATCATAAACAGATATTTCTAGAGGCCTTACCATTTGTTCACTGCTGTACTAATACTAAGCTCTTTGTTGAAAGCCTTTTGATTTGTGTAATATTAATTAGACCAGTATAGTTTATAGATTCATGGTTTTTTGTTAGCTAGTATACCCTGCCCATTCCAGCTTTCCTGCCTTCACTTGTGTAGTGTGTTTACTTTTCATTCAAGGCACACTGAAGTCCCACCTTATTAATGGAACTTCTGATACCCTCCCACATCCCAGGTTATCAGTACTTTTACCCTCACTGACTTTCAGAGTTTATGATTTTAAACTTGGTTTCTGCTTAGGTCTTTTCCTGACCACCCTATCTAAAATAGTCTGTACCTCTCTCCCCTACTGTATCCTCTTATCCTTCTTCTGTCTTGCTAGCACTATTGCTACCTGACAATACAGTATATGTTATTCATTCATTTATTGACTTACTAGAATGTAAGGTCTGAAACTTCAGAAACTTCAGATTCATCTCTGTATCTGTGCCTAGAACAGTGCCTGATATGTAGGACACAAAATATATATTTGTAGCATATAAAGATTGATTGAGGAATTCTATGTTATGTAATATATCTGAACACTTAGTTTATAAAGTCTGTGTTTGAATCCTGTCACTTCCTTAACAAAGTGCTTTAATTTCTGTTACCTTCTTATTTCTTCATCTCAAAAGTGAGAATAATACAATCTACTTTGTAGAGTTGTATATAACCCTGAGTCTGGCATCTGTTATAAGTACTCAGTAATTGTTTGCTACTCTTACTAAGTTCCATTACTAAGACTTTATGTTGTACCATCTAGCATGGTGATTTAGTTGTTATTCAGTCGCTCAGTCGTGTCCAACTCTTTGCAACCCCATGGACTGCAGCATGCCAGGCTTCCCTGTCCTTCACCATCTCCTGGAGCTTGCTTAGACTCATGTCCATTGAGTCGGTGATGCCATCCAACCATCTTGTCCTTTGACCCCTTCTACTGCCTTCAGTCTTTCCCAGCCTCAGTGAGGAATGTGAAAGTGAAAGTCACTCAGTTGAATCCAACTCTTTGTGACCCCATAGACTGTATACTGTATACAGGCCAGAATACTGGAGTGGATAGCCTTTCTCTTCTCCAGTGGATCTTCCCGACCCAGGAATCAAACCGGGGTCTCATGCATTGCAGGCGGATTCTTTCCCAACTGAGCTATCTGGGAAGCCCTCCCAGCATCAGGGTCTTTTCTAATAAGTCTCCTCTTCATATCAGGTGACCAAAGTATTTAGTAATTGTTTTATTATGTAAGCCTCTCCTTTCTTTCAGTCTTTGGGCGTTTCTTGATTCTTTAGCATGGAATATCGTATCTTTTCCACTGAGAGCACTTAACATTACTGGCATAATGATTAAAACTAATATATAACTTTTAAGCATTTATAATGTAGCTTGTAATTAAAAGATGCTGTCCAGCAAAGTTAAAGTAGATGAGCCTAAGCAATGTATTAAAAATTGGAATGTCTAATACTAAGCATTTTCAACATGTTATAAATGTGCCCTTTTTATTCAAAGATTGAGGCTTGCATTTGGAGTTTAATGTTGGGGAAGAAATGATACTTGTAAAAGTCACACTGTACTTGTTAATGAGTGTATCATTGAAAAGTATTTTATTTCCAAAAAAAAGTACACGGGTATTATGTATTAGCATTGTATTTACTACACATTTACATATTGAGAAGGGGGTACATTTTTAAAATATTTCAAGTATTAAAAGTTTCCCCCAGAAGTCTTCTTCTATGTTTTTATTTATCCAAAATAATTGTACTTCCATCTCTTAGGGAGATATGCAAACCGAAATACTTAAATAAGACCTCAGTACGTCCTGGCCTGAAGAACTGTGGGGATGTTAATTGTATTGGACGGATTCATACATACCTCGAGTTGATAGGAGCAATCAATTTTGGATGTGGTAAAAATAAAAACCCAACAACATCTTTTTACTCAACGTTTTTTATCCTTACAGCACCCATTAATTTCTTTGATAGTCAGTATTCAAGTAGATTTAGTATTGATAGAGAGTACAGAAAGGTGCTATAGAATAAATGTGTTTTTATACACATTTATAGAATAAATGTGTATAAAGGTATTATAGAACAAATGTATTGAGATTTTGTTTTAAAACAGATTTCTGTTGATAAACTATATTTCCTTTTAACCTGCAGTCAAAATTGGTGATTTTAAAGGAAAAATATTAAGTTTAAGTAGTAGAAATGATTTATGGATGCACTTCTTTGTCAGGTAAAGAAAATTTTATGAAAAGTCCAATCAAAGCCCATTTAATTTGGAAATACTGTATTAATGCTAGACATATTGTCTAGTGGTATTTAAATAAAATAATTTATGTGCCTTTTTACTTAAATGTAATAAAAGTGCCAAAATATTTTTTGTGGTAGAAAGTTTCTTTCACCCTAGTTTTTCTCAAATGTAAAATCATGCATATTTTTAATGTATTCTGCCCTTTTATTGAATTAACATGACATAATTTTGAAGAAAGATAATAGTTACAATAGTTGGAAAGTGATGTTAATTAGAGTTGTAATCCATGGTTTGAGTGGAGTATATTCTGTGTTCTCTGTCTATGAAAAGACAACCAGAAAACTTCCTACCAGAGATTATTTCATTTCATGTAGAGATAGATAGATTTTACAGTCTGCCCTGGGATCTGTTCTTCATTTCAGTGTCTTTTCTTGCCAAAAGCAAGGTACCAGGAATGGCTTTATAGGAAAACTAAGATGTCATAGCTTCCCTAGCCACGAAAAGAAAAGTGAAATCATGTTTACTGTATTAGAATACCAAAATTAGCAAAGTGGGCTTAGCACTCATTTAAGCAGAAATTAAACAAATGACCCATTTCCTGAATGTTTCATTTTATTGACATTTCCTTGTGAAATCAGCATTACTTTCATGTGAGAACTACCAAGAAGCACATCAGATGTGTATTGTGGAATAAGATAGAAACACAGATACTTAAAAAAAACTTAGAAATTGGCTTATAATTGTAGATGTGTCTTCCCATTGGACAAATAATTCTATAAAATAATAGATTATTGTGTTTTTTTCTGGATTCCAATAGAACAGGCTGTATATAACAGGCCACAACCAGTTGACAAAGTACGAATCAGAGACAGAAAAGACACTGTAGAAGCATACCAACTTGCCCAGCGTCTGCAGTCTATGGTAAGCAGTCCCGTGCCTCACTAAATGATGGTTGAGTAAGGTGTGCCTACTTCTCTTCACCTGTTTAACAAATGGCCATCTAGTAGAAGAAGATGTTTTCTTTCACGCAGGCCATTCACTTTTCTGTTTTCATTCAGTTTCATGTTAATTTGTAGGCAAAAAACAAACCCCCCAAATCTAAAAATCATTCACAAACTTTACACAGAAGTATGATGTTTTGCTTAAAGTGGTCTTAGACTGCTTCATTTTGATATCCGTATCTAACATATCTTTTAAAACCATACATTTAAGCTCTTTTTTTTTAAGCTCTTTTTTTCTTTCCATTTTCTTTTTGTTTGCTTAAAATTCTTGCCATAAGATTTAGCTTTTTGGAAGAGCTGTTCAAAATATTTTAGTCTTTTTTAATTCTTGAGGTTAATGAGTTTTACAGGCTTCCATGGTGGTTCAGTGGTAAAGAATCCACCTGCCAATGCAGGAGCCGCGGATTCAATGCCTGGGCCAGGAGGATCCCTTGGAGAAGGAAATGGCAACCCACTTCAGCATTCTTGCCTGGGAAAGTCCATGGACAGAGAATCTTGGTGGGCTGCAGTCTGTGAGGTCACAGAAAAGTCAGACATGACTGAGCAGCTAAACGGTAACGAGCTTTACAGTGTTGTAAAATGCATGCATCTTATTTTAAAAATAGGTGATCCAACAAGTCTCCCCAAAGGCAGAGTCATGCTGTGGTCTTGTTGGCTTTTCCTAATTGCTGCTGCTGTTTCGTTGGTAAGTCGTGCCTGACTCTTCTCCAGCCCTGTGGACTCTCACCTAGAGTTAGAGGCTCCTCTGTGGGATTTCCCAGGCAGGAATACTGGAGTGGGTTGCCATTTCCTTCTCCAGGGCTTTACTAATAAAACAGGTGAAATTGGCCATAGGTAAGGTAAATAGAAAAGAATAGAAGATGAAAGAGCAGGTTTCTTTCCTCAAAGAAAGAAGGTTATCATGTACAGTTGCTGGAGTTGGTGCTAGTCATACATATTCCTAAGTCTGAGATACAATTATTTTGCTTCTAGTTTTCGTTATTATACCTCTGGCTGTGTGCTCTTGCTAGTTTTCTACTATGAAGTCATTTGTGGTGGTTCTTCTTGGCCCTAAAAGATATTCTTTTCCTATAGTGTAACTCCAATATGGTGAGAGGAAATGAAAATTAAAGGAGAAATCAGAATAAAATTTCAAAAATCATCACTTACTTATTTTTGAGCAGAATGCTAACGTTGAACATAATAAAATATAGTCAGGCATTGCTGATCAGGGATTACAATAATTTAATGGAGAAATTGATGTTTAGAAAATTATCATTTTGGTTTTATATATTAATGTGCTGTGATTTCTCCAAGCTAATCTTGTTACCTTTTGCTTTATTTTTAATTTCATAACAGCGCACAAGGAGACGCAGAGTCCGAGACCCTTGGGGAAATTGGTGTGATGCAAAAGACTTGGAAGGACAGACGTTTGAGGTAACTTTGATCCCTTCAGATGACTCAGAAGTAAACATTGTTTTGTCAGTATACATTTGTGTATCTTTAACATCACATATTGCACTTGTTTTATATGTCTCCATGTATAGGTCTCTTTCCCATGTTAATTTGTTTGTCTAAAAGTCATCAATAAACAACAAAGAAAAAGATATTGAGGATGCAGTTAACTAGAAGTTTGATTTTCAGAACTGTCATTATCTGTCCCAATATTCTGGTCTTTAGCTCCAGAATATCTGTCAACATGCCAGGGAGTTGTGCCCTGTTCATTTCAGTGAACAGTTCTTGAATGATGTTCTGATAAACCAATTAAAATGTCGTTCCAAGCATTAGACATAAATTGAATTACAAATATTGAAGTATTATATCTACTAACAAAACTTATGGTTCTATAAAGGAACATAGGCAGTGAATTATGTATATACATGTGTGCACACACACACCTTCTATGACTATATAATCTGTTTGTGAACAGCCAGTGCACATTAAATGGGAAGAATGTATGAATGTGTACTACTGGCTTTGTTATATTGGGTAACTGTATTGAATCTCAGGGTTTCATTTATAATCCCCTCAAAGGTTGAATTAAATGAAATAAAATGTATGAAGGTCCTAATACTCAGTATTAGTAAGTCTTACATATACCAGGTATTCAATAAATGTTAGTTCTCTTCTTTCTCTCTTCCCCATTCCCTGCCCGCAGCCTCACACCTAAGCATTATTCTAAGCACAGCAATTAGTCACACATGGTCCCTGCCTTGAAGGAATTTACATTTCTAGTAGGAAAGATAAAACCTTTGGTGAGTTCCAACAAATTGGTTCCAAGAAATAAAAATTGACTTAACAGGTATGATCAGGGTAGGTTTCACAGAAGAAGTGATGTTTCATCTGTTACTTAGGGAATGAGCAAGAGAATCTCAGAATGTGTAAATGTAGATGAGGGACTCTCGGTTGAAAGAGACATCTAAGTAAAGGTATAGACATGTACCAGACATGGGAAAATACCAGGTATAGTCTGGAAAAGGTATGTAGTTCACATGGGCTGGAGTATAAGACTGATACATGAGTGTGTGCTTAGTCGCTTCAGTCGTGTCCGACTTTGTGACCCCATGGACTCTAGCCTACCGGGCTCTTCTCTCCATGGGTTGCTATGACCTCCAGGAGATCTTCCCAACCCAGGGATCAAACCCATGACTCTCGTCTCTTGCACTGGCGGGCAGGTTCTTCACCACTAGTGCCACCTAGGAAACACAGTAGTAGATATGAAATGAGTTATTTTATTTTATATTTTTGTAGGATTTACTATGTTAGACACTACTGTCAGTGTTTCACAAACATTAATTCATTTAGTCTTCACAGTAACATCATAGTGGTGTTATTATTATTGTTCCCATTTTAAAGATGAGGAAAACAAACACAGAAAGCTTCAGTAACTTGACCAGAGTCACCCAGCTAGTGTGAGGCAGAGCCAGGCATTGTCTCTGCAGAATCTGTGCACATCAGCTTTATGCTGTGATGTCTCTTTCTTTATTCTCCCTTCAGTGGTTGATGGATGCTTTGATCAAATGGTGGGGTTTTTTTTTAGCATCTCTCTGCTGAGGAGTTGGCAAGAAGAAGAGAAGAGGAAAAATGCAAGCCTGGTAAACCTTCAAAAGTACCAAGACCAACAAAAAGGTATAATGTGACAATATGCAAGTGTGATTTTGTTAATAATCATAAATGGTTAGAAAACATATGGAAGGACTATCTGATGCTGCAACATTATTTTGTTCATTTATTAAGTTTAAAAATACTGCTGAAATTTAACAATTTTTTTTATTTCACTGATTGTTAATTTGGGAGACCATAAGCAAAAGTTTTAATTTGTTCGTGTTCAATAAATATAGGATCCAACATATGTTGTGAGGGCCTTGTTTATGACAGGTGGTTATTTAACTCCTTAGACATTATAAACCAGTAACCTCATGAAATAACTAGTTCCCTCTTTGGTTGGTGCTGAATGTTAGTGAGGGTCTTTTTTTTTTTTTTTAATATTAAAATATGTAGCTTGTAACATTAAGGGTCGCTGTATAAATTAAATGCCTTGATTTTCTAGACCCTCACTTCCTGCAGATGACCCATGAAACAGACTGTAGTTTTGTCAGTGTCCCTTTTAAAACAAGATATCCAGGAACACCTCTTCGTTATTTTCAGTGGAAAAAGCCCTAATACTCAGCAGTTAGATGTTCCTGGGTAAGTTACATAATGGCTTTATAAGCCCAAGGTCCTCATTTATAAAATAATAACTTTAACAATTAGCACTGTTAGCTATGTTTTAAGCATATCATATATATTAACTCATTTAATCCTCATAACAACCCTATGAAGTAGTTAATATAATCATTCCCATTTTATAAATGAGGAAACTGAGAGGCCACAGAGGTTATATAACTTGCCCGTGCTTGTTAATGGCGGTGGTGTGATTTAACCCAGGCATTAAGGCTTAAGAATCTGTGCTCCTAACCATTACATTATATATCACCTCTCTAAAATTAAAGTCAAACTTTAGAATTGTTGTGAGAATAAATTAAATGAGATAAGCTACATTCATCCATAAACTAGGACTCCTCATCTCATGTCCAGACACTTGATTTTCTGAATCTAAATGTGAAACATACTGTAATTTTCAAGTCATTCTTCCAGTTAGGATCTTTTTGAATCCAGATCCACTTTTTTCATATTAGTCTTTGTAGCTTTGAATCATCAACATTTCAGTAAGCTTGCCTTTTCCACCATTGATCACTGATTAAAATGTTTAACTGAAATAATGCGAACTTCAGACATCATTGTTGAATCAGCTATATATTACCACTTAACCCAATTAACTCATTCTTCATCTTATGCAGAAGAATAATCATAGCAGATGTCTTGCTTACATTTAATAACTGAGTCTTTATGAGTCTGCTAGTTTCTAGCATATCATTGCTATCAAAAGTGAAATTTAGGTGTATCTATCATGACTTATATTTTCATGAACCCATTATTCTTAGTCACCTCTTCACTTGCTAAAGGCTTGCAAAGCAGTTGTTAAATAACCTTTTCTAGAATTTTCCTCTGCTGCTTTTTTGGTGTTTTGGAAACAGGCCCAGTAATTGCCTATTCCTGGTCCTCCAGTAATTTTCCATTCTCTGCAGTGCCTCAAAAAGGGTTGATGGTGGTTTCAGACGATGGTTCTTCAAAGTGCTCTGGGATGTAAATGCTTTGTTTATATTTTCCTAACTCTTTCGACCTTTTTTTTTCTCTTCATTTTATTTGCGTTGATTAAGCACTTTCTAATTTGAATATCTTCCTCATTCAGCAAACACTTTTTAAATGCCTACTGTTCTCAGTATTTGGAATACAGTATTCAGCAAAACAAAGTATCTCATCTAGCACTAAGTCTCTGGTAGAATAGGAACTAAATAGTTCTGCTCTTTTCCGGTTGTTAACATGAACATATTCCTTGTTTATTTGCTTTCTCTGGGTGTAGCCTAAGAGTTTTTATTTTTCTCAAACCTCAGTTCTTTATTGGTCAAAGCCTTTCTAATATTTCTAATATTTCTAATATTAGAAATATTATTTCTAATATTTCTCTCATATTTACACATTTTTGTATCTAGCTTTGGTTAGGTAGCCCTTTTTCCATCTTTTATACTTCATTTTAAAAGATGAGTTTATCACAGAACTTTGTATAGACATTAATTTCTTTAATAGAATTGTTTGTCATTTATTCATTCAGCAAAGATTTACTGAGCGCTTCTTTTATCCTGAACACATTGTACTGACAGAAATGTTTCTGAGAAACATCTGTCTTTGAACTTCCTTTCCTATCTTATGTCAGATCAGGTTTTCATTGAAACCTGCTTTCAGTGTAGGACACGTCTGGCCATTTATAATGTTCTCTTTGGGTGTTAAAAGAAATTAAGACAACAAAATTACTTTCTCAAAGGTCCTGTTGTTTCTCAAATTTTTAGTCAAGTCCAAAGGAACCATGCTTCTTTCCAAAGGGTTATATCATAAATTCTCCTAGTTTATTATTTTTCCACTTGGACAGAATTTAGGTTTAGATTATTGGTATACATTTTCAAATTTGTAAATAAATTATGTTATTGAAATGTAAATAAATTATATTAGGAATGATTTTCGTTTCTTTTTCCTTTTCCAGCTCATTTGATCCCTTCCAACTGATACCTTGTCATTTTTTCAGTGAAGAAAAGCAGGTACTATTCATTCATTACAGAATGACCATAAATAATACCCTCCTCTCTGACATGAAGTATTCTTTTCCTATGTGTGCAAGGCATGTGTATATGAAAGGTTGGCTAAGGCAGGGTACACTAAGGGTCAGATGAGTGATACAGGTGGAAAATGAGAAAGAATTTCTCCATGCTAGGGCTTTGAATTATACATATATTTCTTTAAAAGTCTGATTTGTGCTGAGCCTTGGTTGGTAGTGAGAACTTGGTGTGATAGATAAAGGAGAAAAGGATGGACATTCCAGTTAGAAAGAATAAAATCTCTATTTTTATGCTCCACCATTTTTTTTTTCTTATATTTCAGGAGCCATTTCAGGTGAAAGTAGCTTCAGAAGCACTTTTAATAATGGATTTGGTAAGGATATTACATTGTGTTTACTTAGTTATTCTGATTTCCATTCTTGTGTATTTTTATTGCAGGCATAAGAGAGAGTATGGAAGACGTGTATTTTGGATCTTAACTATCCTCTTTTACAAGGAATCTAAAAATAAGTCTTTTCTTTTGGAGAAAAGCCAAACAATTGCATGTTTCCATATTTTAGAGAAAATAAATTAATGTGAGTTTTTGCAGACTGTTTCTCATCATTAACCCTATTTTAATTTCCTAGTATCCTTGTCTGCTGCCTTCTAGATAACTGCAACAAAGCACAACTCTTATAATTTGGAGGCTCCTTGTTTTGCACTAAACTACTGAGATCTCCAATAGTTGTGTTTGTGTTCATGGTATTTTTCTATAGGTGGACCCAGAGTAGTTTTACTTTGTATCCTTATGATACCTTTCTTGTGTAGGGAGAGCAAAACAGTATCTTCATTTTGTAAATGTAAAAAATGGCATCTTGGAGTGTTTGAATGTTTGGTTCAGTTTCTCAGCCAGCAGTAAAGATAGGTCTTAAATCCTAAGTCTGTGTATGCTGAGCCTAGCATCTGGTTCCTCTACTGTGTTAATTCATTTTAGAAAAGTATAATTATCATACTTGTAAATGACTCTCCTATGATAAGTGAGATTTGTTCTGGTATTTTGTCAGATGGATTTAGTTTGTATGTTTGGACTAAGTCTATCTTGTATTTCTTTTAGCATGCTCATGTTTCTATGGCCGAAGTGATTGGTCTGTTAGGAGGAAGATATTCAGAAGCTGATAAAATAGTTGAGGTAAGTTTTCTCTTAAAATTTTAAAAATTATTTAGTCTTGCTGCTATACCAAGTGTTTATATAGATTTCAGTGGATATAATTAACATATAAACTTTATGATATAAATGAGAATATGCAAATGTAGAAAGTTATTTCTTCCCTGGGACTTCCCTGGTGACCCAGTGGTTAAGAATCTGCCTTGCAATGCAAGGGAGGCAAGTTCGATCCCTGGCCTGGAAGCTGAGATCCGCATGCCGCAGGGCAGCTAAGCCTATGCACTGCGCCACGCACAGCCACGAAAGAGCCTGCGTGCCACAGCTAAGACCTGATGCAGCCAAATAAGTAAATATTTTTTTTTTAAGGAGAAAGAAAGTTATGTGTTCCTGGAGGTGACTGAACATTCCATGTATTGAGCACCTGTTTCCCTTTTCCACCGAGAAGGAGGGAACATTGCCAGGCCTTGATTCCATATTGCCTTCGCCAGTAAAAGCTTCAGCTCCTAAGAGGCCGCCTTATAATTGAAACTCGGTATACATCATTTGCTAGAAATTACCATAAATAATAGGGGTCATTGAATGACTTTTTACAAACATTAATATGAGCTGACCAACACTTCACTTGTCTGAGTAGAAAAATGGATTTTGAGTTCCTAGCATACAGTCACACTTTTGGAGAGTAATTCATTTGCAAGTAAAGGCTGCCTATGATAGAGACAAATACAAGACTTGGCTTAAAAAGTTTCTGTTCCTGTGTATGAATTCTGTGTAGAATTAACAGGATTTCAGTATAATCATTTAAGGATTAATCCTTTATAGGTCTGTGCAGCAGAACCATGTAACAGCCTGAGTACAGGACTGCAGTGTGAGATGGATCCTGTCTCACAAACACAAGCCTCGGAAACCTTGGCTGTCAGGGGCTATAGTGTTATCGGATGGTATCATTCTCACCCTGCCTTTGACCCTAATCCTTCCTTACGAGATATTGACACTCAAGCCAAATACCAGGTGTGTTTATAGGTCTTTGTGTGTATAGTCTGTAAATAATTGCACATTCTCTCCCCTATCATTGTTTTCTATTAATTAAATACGCTTTTAACATTTCTAGCAAAGTAATTGCAAGAGTAATATATGTATTTTGTTTAATACAAACCATCACAGTAATGGTGTTAATTCTTCCCAGAGCCTTTAAAAATGATGGGGCTGACTAGAACAGAGACTGGATACAACTGAAATAATTGGAAATATCATGTATTTTGCATCTCTGGAAAAAAGTTTTGTTTTATTCTGCATTTTTGTTTGCTATCTGGATGTTTTTGCTGTTGGCAACTGATTGTAACTCGTTACCATTTTGGTAAAGATTACAGCTGGAGGGTAGTGAATATAATTTGTAAATGTATTCATGGAAAATGTAGATTATATAAGCAAGGTGATCTTTTCGGGTTGGGTTGGACATGTTTTGGCCTGCAAAGTTAAGGGTATGGAATAAACTTCATCTAGTTGCTGTTTGGAAGTGGAGTTTCTAACACACCTTTGCATTCCCTTGTCCTCTATTGGGTGTGTAAAATGTTGGTATGGATAAATACTGACTTTTAAGTTTATGTAGTTGAAACTAATTATACTTTTTTTTTTTTTAATTGTAGAGTTACTTCTCCAGAGGCGGTGCAAAGTTCATTGGGATGATTGTTAGTCCTTATAATCGAAATAATCCTTTACCTTATTCTCAGATTACCTGCCTGGTTATAAGTGATGAAATTAGCCCAGATGGCTCTTATCGTAAGTTTTCAACAAAAACAGTTCTACTTCTACTTTCATTTTTTTGAATCTTACAAATCACAGAATTTATACCTAGGCAGAGCAATTTGATGGAAAAATTTGTGTCCTCAGCTAGGGAATCACTGTTCACATACCATGTAGTACAGCCACCCTCTTTCCTTTTATGATTTCCTTCTACAGTAAAGTCCCCACTGTGTTACCGTGGCCACTGGGCAAAAACATTACAATGTAAAGATAACTTATGGCCAAGTAGTGTGTATATGAGGTCCTGGAGACATTGCAGTAAGCAGAACAGACAAAATCTCTTCTGTTTTCTTGAACATTTTTTGATAAATACACTTTCTTTCTCTGCAGTGGCATTCAAATGAATAAAAAGATAAAAAGAACAGTGACCACCCTACCACAAGTTCTCCATGACCTCCCAGTTTAGGCTCAACAGTGCTTATTTTTATATATATCTCAAGAAAGAATTTGGTTGGTTTAGCCCATCATGACTTGGTTCCTTTGGGGCTTATGTCCACTGCTCTTCCAATCAGTTCTGGCTGGATAGGGAATTAGACCAAGAAAGTAGGAATGTTTAAGATGGGAATGCAGATAGAAGTGAAAGATTAGAGGAAGCAATTAACTTTTAGAGCATATTCTCTTTTCATCCTGATACCACTGCTCTAGTTGTCTATACTCTATGGATGCTGTCGCTCTACATTGTTTTCTTTCCCATTAGCTCATGAGCCCCTTGAAGATAGATACTATATATGTAAATTTTTTTTAGACGAAAGCCGTTTAATTGACAGTATACAACTTTCCAAAATATATTTTTGTAAGAAAATGGCAATAAGTAATAATTTTTACAAACAGGTTTCTTAGTAAATTCCAGTGTACTTTAGACTCCTGTCCACTAAGACACAGCTCCCCCAGTCTCCTGAGCAAACTCTTTTAACATTCATTAATTTTTTTAAAAAGATGTGGAGCAAATAGTAATCCCCTCCTGTGACTCAGGGTAGGGTTTTCACCAAACTTGAGTTAATCAGCTAATGACAATGATGAAAACCATTGCTTTACTTTTGCCCCCTCTGCCTTCCCATCTTGTTCCCTTTGATCCTTAGCCCTCTATGTAGAAACTATTCAAAACTATTCTTGGCAGAACACAATTATTCATTTAAGTCTTAGACCTAAATAAGCCACAGACCAGTAAGGTTCCTGTTTTTGTCTTCATGCTCTCCCTACCCTTGCTGCAGATCTGTCCTTGGTATCTCTCTGCTGCCTGCCCTTAATTAGCAGGCCTTAAGTTGTTGGTTTCTTCCTGAGGTACACAGCACTGGACAGTTTTCCAGTCCAGGTTTTAAGCCTGTTTTCTGTCACTAAATATGTGAGTTTCACCAGGTCACTTTATCTTTCTGGGCTTCAGACTCTTCTGTTAAAAAAAATAAAGATTGGACTGGGTTCTAAAACCCCTCTTCCCAACCAGGTTGCATATTGACTACAACCCTTATTGTAACATGCTGGGACTTTACAGGGAGGGGATGAGGACCAGATTTAAAAATAAAAATGCCCACTCTGCAAGACAAATACTTCATCATCAGCCTATCTCGTATTTCGTTTTTCATTAAAGAAAAACAAAAGCTTGTTATTTCTAGTAAAATAGACATTTATATTCCTGTTTAGAGGGAAAAAAGCCTTCTCTCTTAACAAAGGTTTTTTCGAAGTATATTTACTCAAAGCAGTGCAGGGTGGATTAACATGTGGCTGTTGTATTTACATTATCAAAAAATACATATGTGTGTATCAGCTGGAACTGGTTTTTCAAAGTTTCTCCAGTATACTGTCAAAAATACAAAAGCTCAAGAAGTGACTTAAATAAACTTTCTGCTAGCTTTCCTTATCAAGAAGGGAAAGAACAGTCTTGCATCTAGACTAAACCGGTATCTTGCCCTATGACGCAAAAGAATATTCTGTGCCCCCTTCATAAGCATTGCTGCATCTGTCCCCCCTGACATGAGATTGTGCTTCCCCCTGGATCTCTTCCAGTCATCGGATTCATGGTTTCTGAACCAGTGTGCCACCGAAATAAAAGAGTTTATAATCTCTGGCACAACTTGTTTCAAGTCAATGCTGAATTCTCGGCTTTCTTCTCTCTTCTCAGCCCCAGAATCTGAATTAACCACATAGCATCAGAGACCAGCAGAGATGTGGGAAGAAGGTGACCACTACAGATGCATGGCAATATGGTCTTTGACATAGGTGTCAAGAACAAGCCAGGCCAAGTTGCCCAGAAGGCTAGAACAATACAGTTCAGATGCACGCAAAGAAGCAGCCTCTGAGCCAGCCCAGAGCTTGTCAAGGCTGACTCTGGACAGAGCCACAGTCATTCCTCTTGACCAAGCCTCATTTTTACTCTCTGGTCCTTGCCAGTCACCTTCTCGCTCCCCAAGAGGCCTGTGGGTTATGGCCTTTGATTAGTTTCCAGAATGTATTTGCTGTCTCTGTCTAAACCTGGCTGGTGAAATGAGACCCAGAATCAACAAAGGAGTAATCCAGGCTGACCTGTCCCACGGTGGCCATGATAGAAACCCACTGGGTGGAAAGAACCAAATGTTGGGTAGGAAAGAAGCAAACAGATCTTTTCCCAGTGAGACAGCATTTTCCTCTGCTGCTGCTGCTAAGTCACTTCAGTCATGTCCAACTCTGTGTGATCCCATAGATGGCAGCCCACCAGACTCCCCCGTCCCTGGGATTCTCCAGGCAAGAACACTGGAGTGGGTTGCCATTTCCCTCTCCGATAGATACTATATTGTACTCATTTTTCTACTGTCAGTTTCTAGCCCAGCGCCTGGCGTAATGTAGATTTAACAAATTAATTTCTTCATTCTTAATGATGTCACTCAGATGCCCTCTCTCTGGTAAAGACCCCAGCACCACTACCCTCTATCTCATTTGCTATTAGTTTCTGTTCTTTATGCACCTTCAACACTTGTTTCCTGCCTTCATGGTTATTTTCATCTTTTATTATAATTTATTTAGCCTGTCTCACTAAACTGTGAGCCCCAAAGAGGAGGAACTACATCTTCGTGTCTCCTGTAACACCTAATCACTTGCCTTACATGTAAGGAGTGGTCAGTGCTCTATATAGTTTTATTGAATGAGTAATACTGACAATAACTTTTTCCAAAATGCCCGTTTTGAACATAGCGCATGTGTGCGTATGTGTGCGCACACACACACGTATATATATATCATTCTTTACCCCAGCATAATTCTACAAAAAGTTATAAAAGGAAGAATCACAGTAAAATTGTTCTCAGTTTAAATCATGTCTTAATATCATATACCACTAGATTTGGGGAGTGAGTCTCTACTGTGCTGTCTGATATATTCGCCTGTGGCCTACATGTGATGGCTTAAATCAGTTAAATTAATTAGAGTTAAATGCAATTTAAAATTTAGTTCCTAGAATCCTACTTCTGGGCAAAATGAAGTAACAAGGACCTGTCTGATACAACTGAAAAACTGGACAAAATATAGAAAACAATGGTATTTATAATATCAAGCAGTGAAGGTTATGATTGCTGAGAGATGGGAAGCATAAAAGTGAGGCCAAGTTACCCTGGCTTATTAACTTAAAAGAACTTCCAGGTGTGGCACAAGGAGGAGAAACCCAGCCAGAGTCAGGCTGACTGAGTTGACATGATTGAAATAGACCAAGGAGACCAGGGCAACTAAATTTGTAGGACAGAGTACCAGAGAGTAGAATGCCACCTGGAGAAACTCCAGAAATGTGTAGAAGGTTCAAATTTAGTATTTAGCAAGATAAAGACCAATGCATGTGTGTGAAGAAACTACCCCAAATGAGAAGGAATCACCCAAAAGGTTAGCAGGCCCAGTGCTGGAGGCTCACATAAGCTACTGTCAGACAGCACACAAGTGTCCATGTAAACATCACTGCAAGAAGTTCTCTTGAGTAGAGCCGCCTCTTCCACTGTTAACACTGCTTATTAGGTCTTAATCCTTGGTCCCTTGCTCCTCTTTGAAACTTTCTGTTTCAAGAGTTAATTAAAATTTCTCACAAGCCATGGGATACCTGTATTACATTACTTTGAACTGGGTGCTTGACATATTTATTTGTTTATTCATTTATTCATTAATTTATGTCTAATGGCTAATCATTTTCTCTACTTGTAATAGGCAGGAAATATACTTAGTGATTAGTTTTATTTTGACACTTAAGTGGATAAAAATAATCAGTGCATATATGTGTGATTGGATCATTTTGCTGTATACTTGAAAATAGCACATTATAAATTAATTATACCTCAATTTTAAAATATAATAAGCCTATCAAAAGTAATCAGTACAAAAGGAAATTTTTACTGGTTTAGTGCCTTTTTTTAACTTATAAAATACTCATTACCAAATAGAGATGTATAATGTGTCTATGTGTGTGTGTGTATTTCTTTTTTCATGAGCACAGACTGAAAATGCATTTATTTATTTGCCTTTATTTTAGTCTCATTTTTTACTTCCATTAAGAATAAGAGTTGCTTACCTGGATTCAGATCCCAGCTCTGATATGTTTTTGTTATTTTACCTAGGACAGGTTACTTAATATTGCTCGTTCTCCTTTGCCACATCTCTAAAATGAGAAAAAATTATTACCTTGCTTATGGGGCATTGTAGAGACTGTCAGTAATGCATGTAAGTGCTTAGTAAATAATAGGTCTAAAGTAGGTAAAATTATTGCTGTAGCCTGTGCTTACTAGGTAATGAAAACACATCAAGTAAATGATTGTTATCACAAAAGGAGTTTGGGTAGTAGCTTATGTACTATAAAGTGTCACTTTTCTTAAGTTCTTGGAGGGGGGAAATGAAATGGAAGAGAATTGAGAAATGAAAAAAATCAGCTGTCATCATGCTGTTCCCTTCTCTCCTTCCATACACCTGGGGAAAAAAAATGGGGAGAAAAAGCCATTTTAGAGCATACTGACAAATTATGTTTACATTGTATGGAAGTATAGTTATGATTTTTTCCCCTAGTACCTTCTGATCTGCTGGCATTTTATTTACTTGAAAAGCTTTATGATGGCAAAAATGCAAGTTGAGAGGCAGTATGATGTAAAGGTTAAGAACGTAAGCTTGAGCCAAACTGCCTGACTTCAAATCCTGGCTCTCTCTCTTGCTAGTTATGTATTAATAAGTCCAAGAACAGATTATTTAATAGCCTCTCTGTGGCTCAGTGTCATCAAAAAAAAAGGGACCAATACTGGTAGCTAGTTCATGTGGTGTTGGTATTAGTCACTCATTCATGTCCGACTCTGCAATCCCATGGACTGTATCCTGCCAGGCTCCTCTGTCCATGGATTCTTCAGGCAAGAATACTGGAGTGGGTTGCCATTCCCTTCTCCAAGCTAGTTCATGTAAGTGGCCTTTATTGTTGTTATTCAGTCGCTAAGTCAAGTCTGGCTCTTTGTGACCAGGTTCCACTGTTCTCCATTGTCTCTCAGAGTGCTCAAATTCTTGTCCATTGAGTCAGTAATGCTATCTAACCTTCTCATACTCTGCCACCCCCTTCTCCTATTGCCTTCAGTCTTTCCCAGCATCATGGTCTTTTTCCATTGAGTCAGTTCTTTGCATCAGGTGGCCAAAATATTGGAGCTTCAACTTCAGCTCAGTCCTTCCAATGAATATTCAGGACTTATTTCCTTTACAATTGACTGGTTGGATCTCCTTGCAGTCCAAGGGACTCTCAAGAGTCTCCTCCAGGACCACAGTTCGAAAGCATCAGTTCTTTGGTGCTCAACCTTCTTTATGGTCCAGCTCTCATTTCCATACATGACTACTGGAAAAACCATGGCTTTGACTAGACTGACCTTTGTTGACAAAGTGATGTCTCTGCTTTTGAATATGCTGTCTAGGTTTGTCATAGCTTTCCTTCCAAGGAGCAGGCATCATCTGATTTCATGGCTGCAGTCACCATTTGCAGTGATTTGGGAGCCCAAGAAAAGGAAATTTGTTACTGCTTTCACTTTTTCCCCTTCTATTTGCCATAAAGAAATAGGACCAGATGCCATGATTTTAATTTGAATGTCGAGTTTCAAGCCAGCCTTTTCACTCTCTTTCACCTTCATCAAGAGGCTCTTTAGTTCCTCTTCACTTTCTGCCTAGTATGGTATCATCTGCATATCTGAGGTTGTTGAAATTTCTCCCAGCTGTCTTGATTCCAGCTTGTGATTTATCCTGCCCGGCATTTTGCATGGTATACTCTGCATATAAGTAAAATAAGCAGGGTGACAGTATTTAGCCTTGTCATACTCCTTTTCCAGTTTGGAACCAGTCCATTGTTCCATGTCCAGTTTTAACTATTCCTTCTTAACCCACATGAAAGTTTCTCTGGAGGAAGGTAGGGTTTTCTGGTTCTCCCATCTCTTTAAGAATTTTCCACAATTTGTTGTGATCCACATAGTCAAAGACTTTAGTGTAGTCAATGAAGCAGAAGTAGATATTTTCCTGGAACTTGCTTGCTTTCTCCATGATCCTATGCATGTTGGCAATTTGATCTTTCATTCTCTGCCTCTTTGAAACCCAGTTTATACATCTGGAAGTTCTTGGTTTGTGTACTGCTGAAATCTAGCTTGAAGGATTTTGAGCATAACCTTGCTAGCTTGTGAAATGGGCACAGTTGTACAGTAGCTTAAACATTCTTTGGCATTGCCTTTCTTAGGGATTGGAATGAAAACTGACCTTTTCTAGTCCTGTAGCCACTGTTGCGTAAGTAGCCTTACATCCATACAAAAATGTACCTCTAGGGACTTTTCTGGTGGTCCAGTGGCTAGAACTCCATGCTCCCAATGCAGGGGGCTCAGTTCCAATCCCTTGTCAGGGAACTGTATCCTGCATGCCATAGCTAAGACCCAGTACAGCCAAATTAATTAATTAATTAATTATAATACCTTTATATAAAGCCTGGCACATAGTAAGCATTATACTAGTGTTACTGTTATTGTATTCGCCTTTGGTAATGAATCACCTGAGCTTTTTAAATATACCACAAATATAACTACATGGAAATTTTGAAGGATATATGAGAAATTTCTAGGTAGGCTCATCTCTTGGTATTTTTTCCTTTCTAACTTATGTAAGTGATATCTACCCTTTGGACTTGTTTCCTCCAGAGTTTATTGTGACTCGAGTGTAGTTATTGCCTCTCCAGAATTAAATCTAGTCCCTCCCTGCCTAGTCTTAGGTCAGCACACAGAGGGAGGTGGAATGAATGTAGGCTCAGAAGTCAGGCAAGAATGCTGGAGGTTGAAATCCAAGCTCTTTGCTTTACTAGCAGAAACAGCATGTTCAACCCATCTCAGCCTCAGTTTTATGTGTTAAATAGGAATAATGCTACCTATCTTATAGCACTGTGTTGATAACCTGTGTTTTAAAAAAAGTCAGTGGGATGGAACATAGCTTGGTTTGCCTAGGTCAATTCCTGTTTAAGCCTGTGGTTCTGGCACAAGTGTATATAAGTGCCCGCTTTCCCTCCAGAAGCCTCTTGGTTTGGATGATGATTTATATGATCATCTTACCTGTCACAGTTCCTTGCATAGAATTGTCATGCAAATGGCACTGTTACTTTTCTTTATTAATTGTTTGGCATTAATAGGGTTTATGGACCAAGTTCAGCCAGGCAGTGCATAATTAATGAATGCCTCTTATGTTTAAAGTGCTGCTTAGCTGGTATGCCAAATTGCGGTTGTGAAAACACTGATGGGAATTGTAAGTAATTAAAAGGAGATTGGAGATTCAAGGAATAGTTGGTAAAAATATGCTTCTTTATGCTTTTCTAGGTTTACCTTATAAATTTGAAGTACAACAGATGTTAGAAGAACCTCGGTGGGAGTTAGTGTTTGAAAAGACAAGATGGATAATAGAAAAATACAGGCTATCCCGGAGGTATGTGCTGTGGTTTGAGAGGGTTGCACATCTGCAGTGTTCTCATTAAATTATGTTTTAGGGAAAGCCCAAGTTAAATATAAAACTGTGATATATGGCATCAGTGATAGTTTATTACAAAACTAATGTGTTTATAGTATTTGTTTCATTGGTTTGTTTTCATATTTCTTCCAACAGCAGTGTCCCCATGGATAAAATCTTTCGCCGGGATTCTGACCTGACTTGTTTGCAGAAAGTAAGCTTCCTTCAGTTTAATTGGTTTCATTGTTCATAGACTCTAAAGCTATTCATCTTGATGTGTTTTCCCATGATGCCTGATGCTTTGTGGATACATTTTCTGTGTGTTTCTTTTATTGCTTTTTCCTTTCTAAAGTTAATTTCTAGGAGATAATTAGTAATGTGTTTTGTTGCCCATGCTTGCATATAGAAATAATATTGTTTTAGAACAAAATTTGTCGATGTTGGCTGATTATTATTATACACAATGGAGAGCATTTTTCTTATTTTATTAAATTCAAAAGCACCATGTTTCCATTTAGCTTTAACAATTGATCATTTTTAAAAGTGGTAGTGTAAATCTAACAAATTTAAATGGTCATTTTACTTAACTTCTGGTAGAAAATAAGAGTCTTGAATTATTTTATTTCACTTCTAGTTTTGTTTCTATGAGTGTATTGAGAGATTGGCAAGATTGGTCTTTCTTTTTTTTCTTTTGGTAACAACTTGGAAATAGAAAATTTTAACTTATTAAGTTTCTTCTTTAATATTTTTTACCCCCTCCTATTGTAGTCACTTTCTCTTTGTTCTATCGGAAGATTAATATACACATTTCCCAGGAATTAGACTCTAACATTCCTGTTTTTGAAATGGTAGAATCTTGTATTTTAATGTACATAGATTTTTATCCCATAGGATTCTTTGCTTTGTAAATTACTTTAAAAAGCAAAACCACAAGTTTTTAGAAAGCATGATACATACAGGCTCAAGTTTATCTCCTTTTATAAAATCAGAAGGAACTAACCTAAGCATTCCTCAACAATGGTTTCCTACACTTCAGCTGTATGATTATTAAACACAAATTTATCCTCAGCCTCTTTTAAGGAGGATGTTTCTAATTTAAGCACTATAAAATAGGAGTTTTGGAAATGGATAAATGATAGTAATGCAAACCCTCTTCTTGTACTTCTGTGTATTTAAATATAAAACTTTTCTTTTCAACTAGCTTTTGGAGTGTCTGAGGAAAACTCTGAGCAAAGTGACTAATTGCTTCATTGCTGAAGAATTCTTGACTCGAATAGAAAATTTATTCCTTTCCAGTTACCAAAGCAAGCCAGAGAATGGAGTGGCTGAAGAGAACTGTACTGTGGGGCAAAAGGAATTGTTAATGTAATTATCTTAAAGTAAGATATTTTAGTCTTGACATAGTAGATCCTACTTTCAGAGTTATAACCTTGAAATTATTGTTTAACCGTGGTACAATTTGTTTTGTTTTTTTTTTTGCTAGTTCATGAAATCCAAACTTGGCCACATACACCATGTGGCAAGAGAGAGAGCTAGACTTGTTTTCGTGTGTGCTGCTCAGAGTGTTGTGTGAGGTGGGGTCGGCCGGCACACTCAGTCCTCCATGGCCAGTCGGGGCCTGAACTGGAGGCCACCTCCCTGCTGTCTGCAGGTTGAGAAATGGATTGTGTCTCAAATTTTTGCTTCCCCTGAACTAGTCGTTCCAGTTTTGCTGTCTCACGTCTCACTAGGAGCAGTTCCATTCTCTTCATGTGTTTTGTGAGGCTTGTTTATGGTTGCATATGAAATACGGGTGGGTGGTCACTGAAGTAATAAACATGGTTGAGAACTGCTGGTTTAATGAATCTAACAACATGCTGTGCGAGGCCAGGGGAGGCCTGGGGGAGGGACCTAAAGGAGAGAATCAAATTACCAGCTTTTTAATTACAGATATTTGCTTCCATTTTACTTTATAACCGCACTGCTATAGGGTATGCCATTTTATCAGCTGTAACATTTTGTCAGGCTTTCAGATACGTAATATAATTAGCTTCAAATATAGGTGCCACTTATACTAGTGTTTGTGATAAAACTCAGTTAACTAGAACACAGGTAATCATAACCCTTAAACTAGATTTTTTATATTTCCTCTTACTACCTGCTATGAGGAGAAAGAGGCAAATTACAATAAAACTTAAATAAATCAGATTTGATTTTAAAATCAAAAAATCCTTCCAGGACATATTATGTATTCAGCCCAGTTTTGTATACTTGCTGAATCCAGAACAGGGGTCAGTGGACCTTTTATGTAAAGGGGCAGTTAATAACAGGCTTGGCAGACTACATACCATCTCTGTTGGTCATTCTTCTTTATATTTTTTAACAACTCTTTCAAAATGTAAAACCATTTTTAATTCACGAGCCTCACAAAAGACAGGTTGCTGGCTGTTGTGTTTCCAAACCCTGCTCCAGAGGATTGCAGATATTTAGAATTTATTTTCAAGTGCATGAGCCTGAGCCACTGAAAGGTCTTGCATCATCTTCATCAGTTTTATTGCATCTAATCTGGGTATGATTCTGTAATTTTGCCCTTTTTTGGTTTAATGAATATCCAAGGAAAATAAGTCAGTATTGGAAGGAGCAGTGAGCCAGTTTTAGATGATCTGGGTCTTGACTCAGTCTTGTGAATTGGGGGAATATAGTCTGCCTTCTCTGGGCCTAAATTCATGTGTAACTGAGGTCTAAATTATCTTCCTTGCATCCTCCCAGGTCTAAAATCTTGTGATTCATTCTAATTGTGGGACTTACCCACCTGGAGCTTATATTTTGAGGTGGTACAGTTCCAAAATTAATTTTAAATGTTTTTTTAAGGAAAGTGGTAGTATTTTCCGTTTTTCTTTATGCGTTTAGGCTAAACAGTGCAACAACTTACAAAGCAGTTACTTTGGGGACCAGGGATATTAGAACTGTAGACCAGAAATAGGAAACCTGAATTCTTACCTGATTCTCTTACCAGCTTCGTTGTGCGACAATCACATAAGCTTCTGGACCTCAGGCTCCTCACCTGTAGTTCAGGGGCAGAAAGTGCGCTTCTGTAACAGGCAGTGGTTCATTCCTGCATACTCTTCCTTCTGACGTGTTTTCTTCATTATACCTCGGGGACAGGTCCTAGAAAGTGGTATGAATTCGCTTTCTTAATTGACATTTCCCTGTTATATTGATGAATTGGGGTTGGAAAATAGTGAAAATTAAGAATCTGTTCTCAGTCTGAGTCCTCTGCATGCTTGTGGGTTACTGCATTTAGTAACCTAAGCCATACTATGAGGAACTCAAACATGGTACTGTTCAGAGTTTAATGCTTTGAGAGCACTGTTTTTTAAGTAATACTTACTGTTTTTTCTGATGATAGAGTACATTTATCTTTTTAGAAGATAATTTTTAAAAAACAGAAACCATGGTTAACATTGTGGTATGAACCTTTCATTTTTTTTTAGCATCATGTAATTTTGATTATGGTCTGTGATATTTTCCTCCCCTCCTCCCTCATTCATCCCTTTACATTTTTCTTATGATAGTCTTAAAACATTTCTGCAGCTCTCGATGCCCGCATTCCTGTCACTGCCGACCTTGGCCCGCTGAGGGCAGCAGGAGTCCAGCCTTGAGAAGCACAGGAAGGCTGGGACTGAGTGGCGGACGTTTAACAGGCAGGGTCTCAGAGGGAAACCTACCTCCGGCAGTGTTTACAGAGCGGAGATAGGACTTGAAAACGTCAGAGTCTCTTCATCCTGATTTGGTCCGTCCTTTTGTGCAAAGACAAGAAAACAATGAGCTTAGTTTTGTTTTGTTTTATTTTTTTCTTTTTCCAGCTTGCCTACTGGAAATTGACATTACAGTTACTTCTCTCTTACAGTTTCATCCCAAAGTAATATTCAAAAAAAGAAAAATCAGTGAAATAAGATCCACAAGATCAGAGGCTCTCCCCTTTGTAATTTCAACTTTGGGCCATTGGCCCTCAGTGCTGTATTATAACTTTCGTGGGCCTTAGACACTTTTGCCTTTTTGACCCTCTTCTTCCACAAAAAAACTACTAAAAAATAATGTTACAACTGCATTTGTATAAAATGAATTTAATATTGTATATGCATACATCCTTCCATCTGAAAGTGTTTTTTGTGTTATAAATTTAAAAGAAATTAAAACATTTGGGAGGGCCTCTAAATGTATTATAAACATGAGACCTGGTGCCTAATAGCTCAGTTGACCCTGCCTATATTCTGTTACCCCTCCCCTATAAACTGACCTCACAAACCCTAGCAGAGCTTTGCCACACAGCCAAAAACACTGCAGTTCCTGTGGCTTTAGATCCACAGACATGAACTTTGGTCTTTACTGACTCCATCAACGTTCAGGACTTAGTTGGAACCATTCATCCCCCAAAGAAAGATGGGCTGCAATGGCTAATTTTAGGTTTCAGGTGGCTATTTTGTTCTGATTCTTAATACTTAATAAGAGCCACGGCTCCTGCCACCTTTTTTTCCTTCCTGCATTTCCCTCAAGCTCTTTTTTTTCCATTCCCACTTCCTCACTGTCACCTGTCGGTGTGTAGGTATAAGATCCTTCATTGTCATGTGTTGAAAGCAAGGTCTGAAGAATCGAGTTAAACAGAAGCATTCTTGTTTCCCAGCAGCTGACTAGTGCTGCCCCAGCCTTCTCTCCGTAACTTTCCTCCCCCACAGGAGTGGGGCAGGGGCTGTGCGTGCAGATTGTTTGGGCAGCGAGGAGACCGTGGCCTCGGCCTGCCACCCTGAGTGGGCCTCTTGCGCCTCAGTTTACCTTCTTCCTGTTTGTCTTGCTGGGCCCTCCTGAACTGAGCTGGAGGACCTGGAGAAACCAATCCAGGCAGGAGGCCCTGGGACTGATGCTCTCTCTGCCCCTACACCACCTGGAAGGCAGCTCCCGTCTCAGGACACACACAGTTGGTGTTACTATACTCTTCTCTACCCAGAGCTAGAGGCTAAATCTAGAGTCACACATTATGACATTTAGGAAAACTTACTTCACACAAGCACAAAGATAAAAAGACATACATTTGTGTCATCATCTGTTCCATCAGAGTTAATACAGCATTTAACAAAGAAATTTGATCATTTCCAGTTTACAGTAGTTTAATAGCTTTCTTACAAATTAATATCATAGTTTGCAGTATTTCCAGAAAACCACTGTGGAGAATAATGTAATATGCTTTAGCTTAAATCCTTACCTTTTCTTAAATGGTTTTAAGCATGCTGTTCCCCCAAACTCTTGTTTTTTCATTTAACCTATAATTTGGGCTTTCTGGTATTTTCTAAATCTTTTCTTTTAAGTTTCCTTAAATCTTTTCTAGAGCAAGGCAAAGAGTAAGTATGTTATCCCAGCTAAGTCAGGAGAAAGTCAAATATCCCAGAGAAGCTGTGATTATGCCAGGGGCTCTATACCAAACCAAATTTGAGAAGGTAAAATTAATTCATGATATGTGGGTTGTTTTATTCCTTTGACTGTATTTATGAATATATTCATAAGAACTCCTAATTTCTGCCAAAAAAAAGAAGCCAAATCTGCCATCTTTGAGGTTTCCTGGAGTACTGTCTTAGGAATTAAGAAGTATGTTAACTATGATCTTATAGTTTGTATTCCTGTTTCATAGGTTACCACAGAATATTTGTTTCATATGAATTATAAAATAATATTTAGATTCTAGCATGATTTAAATAGATGGGTCACATATATCTTTAAATTTAAGGATTTGATGTGTAAATTGTGTATTATGTATAAGTTTACTATGATTATTGATAGATAACCCTGTTGGCTGTTGTTTTCCCCAAATGTTATTAATATCAGTGTTTATGGAATTTCTTTTATTAGTTTGAATCTGGGAATGTTCTGTACTAAAATATAATTTAAACCATTTTGTACATTTAAATATGATGCCATGTTGTGTATATCTGTATTAAAGAATATTGTAAATATTAATGTTTGTACAATTATGAAAGCTTTTCCTCAAAATAAGTGAATTCTCCACCTTGTACTTAAATTGTGACATAAAATATCTGGTTTTAAACTTTGGGGTTTTATCTTATAAAAATTTAAGGGAAACATTGTAAAGATTCTATATAAATAAAATTTTGAAAATAAAGTGGTGAATCATTTGGTCTCTGTCTAAATTATTAGCAGCATACATGCTGATTACAAACAATGCCCCCATTAATTCATCTAATATTTGTTGAGCCTTTTAGGGACACAAAGGTGAATAAGGTCTTGGTTCCTTTCCACAAGAATCCTACTACCTAATCCTACTACCTGAAAAATGAGAAACATATAGAACCTGACATAAGTAGGTAAGACACTAAGATA